TTTTTGGCCCCTTGGGTAAATCTTTTTCCCAACCACGGAAGGAACAAATGGAGACGGGAATGGGGTTTCTTCCCCCCCAAAAGGGGGTTTTTTGGCCGTTTTTTTACCCCGGGGGGAAGGGGGCAGTTTCTTTCTCAAAATTTGAAGCCCCATTTGGTTGTTCTGGCCCCCCTCCCTTCAATCCAGAACCCCTTTTTAAAAAGCTTTAAATATGGCCTTGCCCCCCCCCCCCCCCCCCGGATGCAATACATCAACCAAGAACACCTACTTCTATTGTTGGCCTGCGGAAATTGGTGAAGCAAGTCAAGCAACAGCAGCATCAAATATCTAATGATCTCAACTGGGTGATCCGTGCAGGGGAAAATCTTGCTCTTGATAAAGAGGTTCTTTTAATAGAGAATCGGCAGCTTCAAAAAGCTCTTAATCAAGAGAGGAGACGTCGCAAGCGTGGCAGGGCAATGGGGTTGCTAGATCCCTTGAATCCATCATTGGCGCAGTTCTTCTCGCCGGCAAAGATGCAGAGCATCCGCGAGAATTTGCGGCCTCAGAGGTTGCCAAAAAGGACGAGCAAGCTCGTAAGGAGGATGCAAAGCTGCAGCGCATTATTCTTAAGGAACAGAAGGAGGCAGATATCATCCAGCAGAGGATGGAGTGGGAGGCAGCTCGCCAGGCCACAAAACAGCAAAAGGAAATGGATAAGGCCGCAAGAGCTGCTCAACGGCAGATTGACAAGGAGCTTAGAGATGAGAAAAAGACTCAGGAGCAAAAAGAAAAGGAAGAACGAGCTGCTGTACGGCTACAATCACAATTGAATAAGAAGATGATTGAAGAATTCAAAAATCACCTTACTAATCGGGAAAGTAGACCCTTTATTTAGCAAAGAGTGGCTAAATCGCGTTTTCAGAGCCCTGCCAGGGTGCCCACAGATCCACTGCCAGAGGGATATGACGATATTGCAATCTCTACTGGTTTAATGACTGCTTGCTCGCTGAATCTGCCTCCACCCAAGATTTCATGTTTTTATATGTAATTTTCTATATATATTTTCATCCTATAATATATCATCTTAAAATCTAATTGCGTTGCTGAAATAACGTTGAAAATATTTCATCATAGTGATGGCGAAATGGCGGGCGTTGGGTGTAAACGGGCGTTGGGTGGTTGGATTACGTTACATCTAGCTTCCAAGTTACCACTTCTCCATCTACTGCAGGAGAGAAAATCTGATAGGATTGGATTTATCAAACAGATGGCATTCTGCATCGGTCATTTGTTTCTGGTTAATTCCCCGCCCACTTCCATTCTCTCCTCCGGGATGGTATTAGCAAAGATACAATACGCTCCATGTTTGTGCTATGAACTGCAATCGAAATAGTGTTTGGACTTCGACACTTCCGAGGTTCCGAAACATAGTTAACTAATTCTCATTTTCAAGCCCATAGCTAGCTAGCCAGGTGAACACTTTTACGCTCGTATCATGATATAACTATGAATGTATCTAAACTATCATAGCTTTCTCTTATAAAATGGTACTGTTTCTAATTGTTAGGTTTCCATTTCTATACCAACAAACTGCTCCATCCTTCTAGCTTACATTGCGGTTTTGGAGCCCCTGACGTTCTGTTTTTGCCATTGCTGTGCTAAACTACGGTTGCAAGATACTATCTAGATGCCTATGTAGTTATCCCCAAGTGCAAACAAGGCGAGCCATCCTACCAAGAGGTTACTAATACTATTTACCATAATACTGGCTCGCTAATGACATATAGAGAAGGGTCGGTAGAATTGAATTGTTCCCATCAAGCTTCATTTTTCGAATGGTGTTATAATCGCCAACTACAGGATTGCTCAATGCGGGTTGAGAATATCTGGAAAATGTGACAGCTCTTCCACTATGGTAGTCAGAATTCAGTTTTACCGTTCAGATGAAGTAGTGATTAGGAAACGGTGTTAAATATTTGATAGGCTACAGAATGGCGTAAAAAACTACAAAACATTTACTCCTGCAAGGTCGCTAGATAAAATTTCGGATTCAGTGGTAATATGCTGCTGGAACAAATACAAGTCTATAGTCATGTATTTAGTCTGAATAATTCGTAGCGAAAGGCAAGGTACCACGATTTTAGCGTTGAGTTATTCCTTGAAGGCAGAATCATATTACATATAATCCCAGAGCTGGGCAGTTTTTCGCACATCCACCATGGTCGTCTTGAGAAGCTACCACTTCCACGAAGAAGTAGAGCTATATACTTGTTATTATCTCAACTGTATTTGAATTCATTTGCTAAGCTGCCCGGGGACCTATCTATTCGTCAGGAGGATTTACAATTAGAACTAAACTATTCGGAGCTAGAAACATTGAAGTGAAGGTTTATCTACATTCAGACGATAACAGACATTGTTAGAAGAAAGGGTTACAGCCATCTTCATGTCCGGTTGATCGTTTTAACTAGTAGGGGGTATCGAAGAATGATCCATAAAGATCGCATCATTGCGAAAAGGTGTCAAGGAATTGGTCCAAATCGAAATCCAGATTGACCCACTGGGTTGGGGCACTGGTATTTGAATGGAGGGACTGTTGGGCAGTGTTTCCAGCTACTGGACGACGGACGGGCATATTCATAAATCCAGTATCTCCGAACCCTCCCACATAATTGGTGGTGTGGGTCATCGACATATTCGTGAGCTGCGGACTCGGTATAAGAGGAACAAGGAGGTTGAAGTTTCGTTCGACATTAAGGATGTTATTCTCGTCGCTTGCTGATGAGAGGAAATTGGCGTTTGCACCATCCGATTGAGAAATAGGAGTGGCAGCACCCCGAGAACCAAATTTGGAGGATTTAACAATACGCGAATTACAGCGAGTGGTCGAACGACGCTTTTTCTCCGAAGGCTTTCGAGGAGCATATTGATAGTAAGGGTGATCTTTGGCATGTTGGGCCTTGATTTCATCGGCGAGAGCTTTGAAATAGGCTTTGGTCTCAGAAGACTCTGCCTTCCATCTCTTACCAAGGAGTATCGCTATGCAATTGTTAGGCAAGTCACAGTAAGTAAGAGGAGCCGGAAACTAACATATGTCGTTGTTGTGGAAGTCAGGGTTAGATGCTTTGACAAGAGGATGGTGATGCCGGCGATACAGAATGAACGCATTTGACGGGCGTGGAATCTTTTCGGGTTTCCCTCGAATCATCTTGCGTGCTTTAGGAGATCTGGCACTTCGATCATTGTTTGTTACAATCATGGGCATAATTTGAGCAACAGCAGCATCTACCACTCCATCGAGCGCAGGAGTAGGCATGATGCGGTAGACACCATTTACGTTGTCTTTAAACGAGACCACAGGGGTGCTAAGCAGCATGCTTGGAGATATTAGCTTAGGAATTAAATAACAGATATATTAACATACCTTAAGCGATCTTTGATTTTCTCAACATTGTCTAGGCCGATAACCACATCGATATCTGCGGGAAGGAGGATCTCATTTTTGGTAGACTTCAGATGGTTCATAGCATGTTGCCAAATAAGCTCGAGAACCAAGTCTAGGGACCCGGACATCGGATCCGCAGCAGTGGTCATAGCCGTAGCCATTTAAATTCGTAACTTCGAAGTTCTGATCTGATTGATACAAGAGGATGGAAATATAGAATAAGGGCAGTTGATCAGGCAACAAAAATGAGATAGGCGTGGACGGTCGAATGTGGTGGAACAATGACAGAGAGTAAGGATGGGGGGGAAAAAAAGTAGTAGGCATTGTAGAAGAAGGGAAAAAAGAAGAAAAAAGAAGAAGAAAAGAAAAAATAAAATAAATAAAGTCAAGAAGAGCTCGGTAAAGAGGGGTGACTGTTGTGTTCTTTGTTTATGATGAACAGTGAATGCCAGGATGAATTTCAAAGGTCAGCAACCAACCCCTCAAGGACTGTGCTTCACCACGTCTCCTCCCTCCGACCCGCTGCCAGTTTAAAAAGTGAGACCAACTAAATCGAAGAGCTTAGGACATTTCTTTTGCTCTTAACAACGTTTAACTTAGTCTTAAACGCGGAACCCCACAGCCGTTATTTCATACCCTTCATCCTTATATTCTGCAGAATTGTGCCAAGTATGGACCCAGAAGAATTCCTTAGCGATGCTAGCAGCCTAAGCCACGCATTGCCGCCCACTACAGGAGAGTTATCAGCCACCAAACAGTCCAAACTCAAGGAGCAAGCCAAAGTTGTCCTGACTCCACACAATCCCTGCCCCATGAACCAATCCTGCGATGACGTCAAATTGTTCCTCCAGAGATGCATTCCTACCCAGGAAGGGAATCTACTTTCAGAAAGTACAGCACAAGACAGCGAGGACTCTGCGGAAAACAATGCCACAAGAGATCGCCTTAATGATGCCCAGCGTATGATTCAACTCTACAAAGTTCACCCCAAACTTGAGGATTACTCCACAGGTCTCATTACCCTCAATGACAAGGTTAAACTCCCCGGCCCTGATAGAGCCCCAGATGCTTTTAGAAGGATATGTAAAAGAAAGATTTTGCTCAAGGAACAGGAGGCAACTCATATGGCGAAAGAACTCTCAGAGAGATATGGGTCCGAATCACTATTCCGAGCTGCTTTTCGGGAATTTTACTCAACGTGAGCAGATCTTCATTCCACCTCTAGAGCTACCAAACACTGACTATAGTAGTGGACTCGTTGGCATCCAACAAACATTCTGGAGGGTGGACCATCGTGGTCAAAGGATCCGACGACAAGCAGAGGAGATCTCCCTCCAAACAATCAATGAACATCTCTGGCTTAACGGTGCCGAAGTGGCTTTTGTGGTCCGAGGCGCTAGATGCCTTCCGCAGGATGCCATGAACTTTTGTAAGTGCCACACACGGAGATTCAAAATCATCAATATGCTGACAAACTTCATTTATACAGGGCGGTGGGTATCGTCCAATAGGATAACTTATTTGGCCGTGAGAGATATGCTCGAACTTGGAGAACCATCCTTTGACAATTCCGAAGATGTACTAGAGGATTAGTGATAAGACATCTCTTGATAAAATCTTAACGGCTGCAGTTGCATGGCTAGAAGCCTTACAAAACACGGATTTCCTATCGTGTCGGTTTTAAGTTACTTTGGACTTCATTCTACTACCACGCAATAAACTGTTAAACCACGCATGATAAAATGCAAGTAAATGTATGTACCTACGAAGTAACTAAAGACAAAGGTTGAAATTGCTGTAATTTGTTTTGTAACCTTGTTGTCATTTTGCCGCTAGAAATACCACTGGCAGTAGGAACACCCATAATAAATAGTGGTCATCCAATCCAAGAGCTTCCCGTCTCCTAAAGTCTGACCATTCCGTTTCAAATCTTGGGAGCCCAGATGCATGCGAGTTAAAACACATGTTTATAATTTCAACTAATGAGCGATATCAGTGTGAGCCGTTACTTTTGACACATCGTTGTGCACCACATGGAATGTAGAAATTTGGAGAAGACATACAAGGTACTACAGAGTACGTAGGAGTATATCAGTCAGACACAATTAGTGAGCCATTGGCGAACCAGATTGTTCAGTGCCAAATCTACGCGTGGAAATATTAGTTAATGAAATGTTAAAAGGCATGCTTCGCTCGCTATGCTTGCTTCTAACACACTTTTTAATTAATATTATTACCATACAATGGCAGCAGGTCGAAGGATGGTTGGTACTGGTGTAGGTATCCGGCCGAGCGGGGTATTTGGCTGTACGTATGTTTGGATGGTTGGCGAGGTACACCAGTGATAGGTGTGGTGGCCTGTGGGCCTGTGTGTGCTTAACACTGAACTTTGGCCTACAAAATACCCGGGATCCACTCACGCCAAGATGCACTGGACGGGCCCGTTCTGATCAAAGTTTCAACGAGAAACACCGGGATATCACACAACTAATTTCTTTGTTCTCAAAGAAAGAAACTGAGGGTTAAGCGAAACTGTCCATTAATTTCTCCCATACATCCAAGATCTAGGAGAACATTTCAAAACACAGTCAACCGCAAACAAAGAACTCAGGAGAGGAGAAAAGTCAACAGAATGAACCGTAATGTTAACCGCTCTAGAAGCCTGGCCCACGGAAAATCACCTAGAGACAAAAGCTGACATTAACTGTTAGCCGAATAGCTTATTAACCTTACCCTAACCTAGCACTTCAAGGCTGAGATTTTGCAGGAATTAAAGAAAGTTAAATATTTGGGCCTCAAACCCTGGACGGTTGAACACAACTAAATGGGCCTGCACCAGATTCGTTGACTGGTCCAAGAGCCACGAGTAGATTTACTAGTTTTGTGGTTCTTAGACTCAGGGAAGCTAAAATGATCTCCGAGCAGAAGAGAGTGGTTGCAAATAGGCAGAACTTTAAATAGCAAGCTGCTTGGAGCTTCCGGACTCCCTGTGATTTTGTTATACCACTTTCTTTGTGCATAAATAATTTTGTACATAAACGGTGCCACAAAGGATGGACTAAAAATGACTAATTAGTTTCAGGAAGAAAAATAAAGAAAAGAGAAGAAAGAAAAAGATAAAAAGAGAGAGAGAGAGAGAGAGCAGGGCCATGTAAGCAGAGGAAAAGGGAGATCTGTGTGTTACGAGGCTCTAGCCTAATGTAAGGGACTTGAGATTTCCTTCCCCGATGTGTAGAATTTCGAGGTTAATCAATAACATTTAAACTTCCCTGATACGAGATAGACTTCCGAGAAAATTGGCTGCTACAGAAAAACCAATTGCAACCAACTTTACGAGAGTTACAGAGAAAAAGGTCCTTCCCAGTTTTGATTTTTAGCGCAAAAAGAGGAAAGAATTGATGACTCATTCGTTTTGTTAGCTTGCTGGTAATAGAGGTAGGGTTCCCTTGTTGAATTGCTCAATATTGCGAGCAAGCCGTATTTCACTTCATGGCATTAACGAAGAGGATGTTTGTCAAACGGGAAACGAGAACGAAAGTGGCGTTTGTTGGGTGTTTGCTTTTATTGTTTCTTGGCTGTCTGTGGATATGAGGAAGCATCTTTGCTACAGTACATGCATAGCTCCCAAAGATGGATCCAGTGGGCTAGCTTGAAACGTTCGGATTGGTCGCAGTCAGCCACACAAGTCGACGCAAACGGACTCACACTTCTATCCCTTGCATAACAGATTGAAAACGAAATGCGGGGTAAGGAATTGTAATATTTTGGAAATATAATTTACCATTTGGGAAGATTTTAGTTTTGTCACATATGCGAGGTGAAGGGGAAAAAAAAGTGGCAAACAGTAAAGGGCATTAATGCAGAGAGCCGCTAGGATACACAGATTTGGATGCTAATATTAAAATGGCGAACAGAAAAAGAGAGCATGAGACCATAGTAGAAATATCACAATTGAGATTCCCCCCCTCACTCTACTACTCCATATATGAAATTTTACGCATTTCGCCTAGCCGCTGTCGTGCCTGCGCGAGGCTGTTCTCGAGTTGGAGGATTTCGACCTGGTTAGAGGCACAGTGATTAGAACATGCTGTCTTCCACGTAATGCAAAGAAGAATGCAGGTAAGGACAAGTATAGGGAATGTAAGCGCCCATTTTCATTCCAGAACACCGGCTTGGAAATAGGAAAGGAGGGCCAGAACAAGAGTGTTGTGGTTCCTGTCTGGCGAGAGGGTTCTAGGAATGGAATATAACCTCTGCAGGCAAGAGGTGTATTGGGACAAAGAAAAAGCACAGAAGACAAAAGAAGAAGAGCAAAAAAAAAAAAAAAAAAAAAAAAAAAAAAAAACCTAAACAGGAAAACCACCAACATACCTGCTGCTCCATCTCACGAACTTTAAACTCATGACCACTGAGTTTCGTGTAGTCGACTGCCTCGGTGTCATCACGATTCTTTTCCGCTATGATGGCCTGCACCTGGCGCACCAGACTCCTGCATGCGGCGCCTACAGCCCTACTGGCAGTTTCCAGTCGATCCTGCGTCTTGCTCATGAAGGTTGCTTTAACCCGACTGGAGGCAACGAGCTGTGCCGTGCTGGCAGCAACTTCATTACTAGCCACGATTAGCTGCTCCGGTGAGTTGCGTCCGGATATGACACCATCTGCTGTCTCGATTAGGGTATTAGTTGAACTTGCGACGGCCTTGGCAGCAGAGATCAACCCTTCCGTCCAGCGATTGTTTTTCTTGTAGAATGCAGTCCTTGATGAGCTTCCGCGGCCCTCTCTGACGATCTCTTGCTGGGATGCAGTGGCAGCTTTAATTAGCTCTGCAATCGCCGTAGTTACAGCAATAGACGCTTCCAGGATGGAGTCATGGATGCGAAGCTCGTAGGTGGAGTAGCCCTCGCGCGGCTTCTTCTTTAATTTGGCGAGTCTTTGGGCAGCAGCTTCGATCGCGTTGGCTGCGTTCGTAAGCTCGCGATCCACAATGTCTCCCAAATCACCAGTGCCAGTAAGCTTGCTGCTCTTCGAAGAGAAAGTGTCGACAATTTTAGAGAGCTTCTGTAAATTCATCAAGACTTCATGGTTGTTATTGATTACTACGTCTGTCTTCTGCAGAGGTTCCAGTCCTTCTAGGCGGAACGATTGTAGACCGCGGAAAAACTTCACGGTGGATAGTGCAGATTGTCTCGCAGCACCCAACAGTTGATCGGCCTTCTTATCATCGGTAGCAAATCTATTCAAACCCTTGGAGTTGCTGAGCACATCCGCAATGGATCCTGAGAATATGCTGACAGTTCGGATGATTTCAGAGTGCGCGCTGTTCGGTCCGTCTGCAATGTAGTTATTAAATGCAGTGGAGAACTCTGTTGCGCTAGAGGAAGCCTTTTCGATCTGTGAAAGGACATAAGACGGGGAGGCGTTTTGATTTCCCGCTTGCATCGTCGAATCAAGTTCGTAGAGAGCATCGTCCACCCGCTGAATTCCACTTTGAAGAACAGAGTCGATAATGTCGTTGATCTTCGCGACAGAGTTATGGAGCACGTCATCAATTTGGGTATCGAGAGCACGGTCAGCGTCTCCTTGGTTCTATAAACACGTTAGCTACAACCAATGAAGATCCAATACTTCCACCGCAGCATTTTCCACATACTAGTTTCAACTCTTCCAACTCCATAAGGGCTTGCTCCATTCCAGACTTGTACACTTCAACTTCCTCATCCTTCTCCAGAAGGGCCTTTTCATAGTCTTGGTCTTTTTCACCATTATTTGCTCGAATCTCATCCAGGGCGCGTGTTTTATTCTGCAAGTAGGTTAGCTCTTAAAATCACTTCGACAGCAGGAACGGTAGCTGCAAACGTACCCGGAGCGCCTCCTCAAGATCAGCCATCTCGCGGTTGTACTTGGAGAGAAGGGAAGAAATCTCAGAGCTCTTAGACCGCTCAGCATTTTCGGCTTTCTCGATAGCAAGACGAAGCTCCCGCTTAAGCTTCTCGACTTCCTCCCGATTCCCACCGGCAATGCGGTCCTTTTCATGCAGCGCTCGATCGCGTTCTCTGATCATGTCTGCCAGCTCCAGGTTTTTCGTCTTCATCTCGCGCTCGAGCCTCTCCCGCCTATCGATTGCCTCTTGCGCAGACGCCGCTTTGAGCTTCAGGGCTTTCGTGTTCTGTAAAAGATCAAGATGTTCTTGCCGCAACTGAGAGTAGAGCTTCGCCAGGGCCTCATATTTCGTGCGCCAGGCATTGACCTGCTCCTGCAGCGCCCGTATTTGGTCATCTTTGGACTGGGTTTGCATGCTAAAATTTGCATTCAGCTGATTGAGCTGTTCTTCTAAATCCTTGATCCTCTTATCGTACTGCTGAAGCATGAGCTGATCCCGTTCGTACTGCGCGCGTGCGTTGAGATTCTCCTGTTCCAGCTCGGCTAGCCGGCCTTGCGTCTGCTGCTGATACTGGGTTTGTAGCAGCTGTTCCCGCGCTAGTCTTTGCTGTTCAGCCTGCAGTCGTTGTTGCTCCTCGAAATCCCTCTGGGCTTGCTGTTGGGCAAGTAATTGCTGACGTTGCTGTTCTTCCCATTGCTTTTGTAGCCGTAGTTGTTCATTTTCAAACTCCTCTTGTTGTCGTTTAGCCTCGGCAGACCAGAAATCATTGATGGGCTCTGGGTCAGGAATAGATGCTTTGGGGGGTGGGCTAGGATCGCGCTCAACTTCCTTGTTTGGTCGCTTAGGCAGAGCAGGTCGTACCTCATCTTCTGCAAGGAGGTTCGGTGGTTGTTGGGGAAGTTTCGGAACAGTGATCAAGCTAGTAAGGTAACGAAGGTTGGAACATTCGTAATAAAAATGAACAAGTCTATGATGCTGCGCATTATAGCGATTGCGTAGAGGCTCCAGTGCGTCTTCATCTCCAGTAGCTGTGAATAATGTTAGTTTTTCTATAGGTTTACAATAAGTATGATGCTGTTCGGGAAGCGTACTTGTATGCATTGCCCGCAACATGCTCGTTATGAATTTATATATTCCATAACTCTCTTGAACAAGCGGCACCAATGCCGAAATCCTACACTCATTATTGGTGCTATGTCGAAAGTGTGAAAAAATGAGTTTCTGGAAGGAATCGATTTGATCCTGGAGATTCATGAGGTCTGTAATGGTTTCATAACTATGGAGTTTTGTCAGCAAAGAAATCCAACAAGAGAACTTGACGTAAGATTGCTTACCCTTCATTCGGATCATTTATAGTTTTCAGACTAATATATTCCTCATATTCGAATAGACCTGAAGGGTGAACATTAGCCATTGAAACAAACACTGCTGGTGGTCACAAAACACGAGGGTAGTGAGAAGCTCACCATTGAATTCGGGATGGTTGCGGTGAAATGTCAGCTTTGATGCCAAAAAGTGTACATACTCCCTAATCAATGATCCGTAGCCTAAGTAGAGCACATATGTTTAGTCGTGGAATAGAAGTAACCCCAAAAAACAAATCACTAAAAATAAAATTCTCCAGAACACCATCTTAGGCCATGCGTGAACGGTGTATCTATTTACCTCTGAGTCCTTCCCCCACTGCACCTCTGCTCAAAGAATCCAACCAGCCAACATGTGCCTGCGCTTCCCTAACTGTTATCGGATGGCCTTCCTGTAGAACCTTGTGTACCGTGATCAGCGCTTTAAATGTTTGGACTTCGTCTGCTAAGACCGGTTGACTAGTAAATTCGGCATATACATGCTCACGTTAGAACAGAATGTAAATCGGAGCTGATGTCGAGTAAAACGGGGTGTAAAGGTGATAACGGCATGAAGGGAAAAATGATAACAAGGCCCAAAGACCTAAACACTCACACTTTCATGCCCGCCCAAAAGCTCGTTGACGACTTGTGATCCCACGTATAAACGATGCAGCTCCGAACATGTTTGCCTAAGACATCCGTCAGATTAGACTCGGGAGAGAAGGATATGGGACTGGATTGTCATTAAACGCCAGGCTGACGATTCCGAAAAACATACGTTTAGGCGCGGTCTCCTCTATCCATGGGAAACCCACAGAGTATTAGTTCAAAATGTCCAAGAACAGCAAGGTCACGAAGAGCAAAGCTGGACTAGCTGATCTTACCAATGCTGGTGGCCTTGCGGATATTAACCGCCAGATCTTGCTCCGTTCTGCCGACGATGTTATCAGCCCCCGCCATTCCCATTGTATTTGCTTTGAAGGAGGCCACAAATTGGGCTGGGAACACTACCTGCTCATGTCGATATTCCTTGACGTTCCCGACGTGTATCCCAGTGACATTTTCCAGCGTGGTTGAAGGCGAGGCGGGTCGAAATGCAGAACGAATTGGGTACATGTACAGTTGGAAGCCCCACGGGGACAGTCAGCAAGAACTGAGAGAGCTAGTTAATAATGGAGGGAGGATTTAGGCAACTCGAGCACAGCTTCAACACGAGTGACGAAGGGCATAAACAGAAATACTCAAACCACCAGTTTGGGTGTTACAGCAAAGCACGATGAAGAGGAACTGAAAATGCCCCAGGAAAGGCTCAGAAGGCCATGCGCTTGTATGGAAGATCCTCGTCGTCGCAACTCGGCAGCGCGCCGCAATCAGCTTGCTGAGTCAGCAATTCTACCCCTTCTTGGCCTGGCTGATATCCCGAATGTCCGGATATTCCAGCTCAATGTCCGAACAATGAATGATAGCTTGAACGCTGATGGGATAACCCAGTGCAGAGGGTGATGGGGGTTCTTGCAAGATGTTTTCTTGTGCTTTGAACCAAGAAGCTCCAGTTTTAACTTATCTCTCCACATCCTGGAGCATGCAGGCGTGTATAGAACTCAAACCACGGTTTGGATTGCCGATCAGGAGTGCATCAAACTATCTTTACCGATCGACGGGCATATTCTACTGCTGATCTAGATTATTCAGCCTGTATAATAAAAAGCCAAACAATCTGGAAAATTTTGGATCCATGTTTAAAACAATGGTGGGCAAGGAAACATCATCGCCCGCTCTTGTAAATTCTGGAAGACATTCCATGGCCGAAATTCATGAAAGTACTTTGCGTCTTGATTCCGTATACTTTACTGCGCGGATCCTGGACATCTACCTCCTCTCGAAGGTTCGAGTTTTGTTGCCCAACGACGGCGTAATCTCCTTCCTTCTAGGCTTCCAGGTTAAAACTAAAAAGCGAAGAAAAACATTTCCTCTAAAACGGAAAATTGGCTATTCCATAAATTTGCAGAGTTTCAACTCGTTCTATGTCAATAAAATCTTCTCTTTTTTAAGACTATCAAAATGCTGAGCATAAAAACAACGAAAAGGCCCCCCAACACCTTCTCCCAAAGAAAGAAAGAAAGAAAGAAAGAAAGAAAGAAAGAAAAAACGAACAAGAAAACGCACATGCTCCTGAGCCAGGAAAAAGAACAGTGACCTAACTTCCTTTGCTCTCTTTGCAAAGCAAGTTGCCGGCCACTCCATGCCCTGGATGGAGTGTCTATACCATATGCAGGGTATTATATGAAACCAATTCAAGGTAAAAAGCTAACTCCGTGACACGAATACTTCTGTTATCTTCAATCTAGCATAAAAACATAAAAGGAAAGGAAAGGGGTGATCCTAGGTCATCGCCTAACGCCCTGGTTGAATATACGTACAATACAAAGAAAAGAAATAAATGGAGACGGGAGAGGTGATTGGATATAGTCCTACGATTGCATGAGAAGAGAATTATCTCGAGTGTGTTCGGGGGGAGTCGATTCCGGAACGGCGTCTGAATCTGTATTCTCCTCTGCGGATACAGCTGAAGCCTGCTGGAGAACAACTTCTGGTAGTTGTGAACTACTGTCCGAGTTATTATCCGGAACAAGTACCTCTCTGTTCGAGTCAGAATCTCCATGTTCTGTTGAAACGGAATTATGTCCAATATCGTTGGAGTTTACCGCCTCTGACTTGACCGGTGACATATCTGTGATCGGAGTTGACGGTTCTGAACCGAGGGGTGCCTCGATTATTAGAAGCTCGTCCGACGTATGTTCTTGATTCCCCTTAATCGACGGGCTGGGGCGGGCCGGAAGGGGGGGTTTGTGGGCAGGTTGACGATCCTTCGGCGGTCGAGCCGGTAGTAGAGGTGGAGGCAAGGGTTTGCGTATCGGTTTGGGCATTGTATTCGACATGAATCCAAACTTATCGGGAGGCGGAAGGGGAGTGCCTGGTGGTGGGAGCGGGCGTCCTCGTCCAATTGGGTGGACTGGTATTGTTAGTTTGTTGTCTCTCTTAGTAGATGATTCTCCACCCCGACCAAGGACATTCAATCCCCATTTTCGCGCAGCGGCAGCAGCTGATCCGATGGGACCTATATGTCCGAGAGTTTGTTTTTCGGGACCTTTAGGATTCGGTGTATCTGCTGGAAGCGGAGAGCCAGGGGCTTTGCTCAGGATCGCCGTCTCACTTCTTAAGGACAAATTGGAGCTCCGTCGACTATCGGGTTTAGATTGCATGGTCGGTGATGATCCATCGCGAATCGAAGGAGTACGAGGGGGAGCATGGGCATTCTTTGCCTCATCAGCTGGAATGGTGTCTTTATGCGCTGGCGTTTTGTGCAATATTGACGCTTCCTTTGGAGGAGAGCCAACAGGAGTTCTGGATGGGGAGCCCTGTTGGGAACGGTTAGAAATCTCGATCATGGTGGCTGTTGCATCACGTTCTTCCAATTTCGAATCCCAAGCCGTGTGGTCAACATTTGCGGTATCTGCGGTAACGACAGGGTTCGCGACAGGAGAGAATGTTTGCGACCGGATAGCTCGAGGAGGGTCTAAGCGATTTGGCCTTTCCACGCTGGTGGAGGTTGAGTAGCTTATGTCTCCTAGGTGGGAAGGTATAGATTTTGAACCTCTTCTGCCGATTAAGGTCGGGGAGGGTGACTCTGGCATAGCATCATTCTTGCTGCTAGGCCCGTCAAAGTGGAGTGGAGACACCAGCTGTTCGGGGATTTCTTGATGCTCTTCCGTTTCATCTGGAATCACAGTTTTCGGCTGGAGCTTTGGGGGGTGATGCCAAATACCGCCACGGTAAGTTTCGTGCTCCGTGTCCAAAAATGGAATGTCATCCCAGAAAGGTTGAACCAACGTTTCCGCAACTACTTCCCTTATCCTGCTTTCAATAGCTCGAAGGATCACGCCATATGTAATTTGCCTGGAGCTGACTATTGGCTCTATTGCCATTACCATATGTGGCATGCTTTCAAATGAAAGCCAGAGCCGGTTGCTGGGCGGAGGTTTAAATCGCAACAGCCCGCGGCCTTTCAGGCCTTTTAACACAACTGCCAGAACCAAGTCGACTTCTCTAGGTTTGAAACGTGTGCCAAGCTCTATGCGGGCGGTGGCCGCCACCTCCAGGCGAAAATTTCCGCTGTAGTTGATATCCATCTCGACACAGCAGTCACCATCAACCGTAAGATCCCTGAGCCTAGGATTGGTAATGAGTGGTGCCCCTTCCCCAGCATCGATCTTCTGGAGAGAAATCTTAGTGATAAAGTTGGGCTTTTTCACTCGGGATATCTTCTTTGTTATCTTCTTCCGCATGAAGTCTTCAAGGACAGGGGTTTTATACATTGCTAGAAAAAGTCTGCCCATCAGCGCATTGATCCATCGTGTCTGAAGCTGTTCCTCGGATGAATGTATGTGCTTTACAAGGGTGATGATATGTTTCACGTCGTAATGCTGAGGTGTTGGAGGGCAATCCGGGGATTCTGGAATCTTCTCAAGGTTGTTCATAATTGCAAAATAAAAATCTTCCTTTTCGGAAAGGTTTTCTGAGAAGAGGTAGAATGGCAATGTAGAGGATCGCGATTCTAGCGCATTGGAGATTGATCCAGGTTTCCTCGTCAAACAAATAGCGTTCCGCTTAATCCAGAGCTCCCCTTCAGGTATCAGCTCCCCCCCTCCGTAGATGCTGACGTCGTGATGTGCTAATGAGATGACATAGCGAACTTCTATTTGCTCTGCATCGTCGTAGAGCATTAAATGGCCATGTCTACAGGGAAAGGATAATAATTGTAAGCATTGCTGCTGCCAGAAGCCGGGATGGGTATGAGGTATGGGAGGACACAACATACCTAAGAACCACAAAAAATACGTTCCTGGCCTTCCTGGTGTTTCTCCCATTTCCTTTGGATGGATCAATGGTTGAAGCTTGTTTTCGATCGAAGATACTCCGGTACATGCTTTGGTAAACGCTTGGGCTTTCCGCGGCCACTACATCGCCGACAGGCGTGGTCCTCTCGGGGGGTCTGCCATTGACCCCGCCTGGCACATATTCCCGGCAAACCGCAAAGTATCCCGCTGCCACATCAGACTCGTGGGCTCGTTGGAACTTTTCTGCTAGCACATCGGTACCAGATTTTAAGCTAAACTGGTCATCTGTCGGACGCCGGAGGACATCAACCTTTATATCCTCAGCCTTTTGGGCATGGTTTAGCGATCGTGGCAGGGTCAGATAAGCATGAAGGGCGACGAGGCTCAGCACGAGCGGAATAAAGGTGACTCCACCAAGAACGTAGACGAGGAGATATCCACTAAAGGAATCCATAGGTAACTATTCCAGCAGATATCTAACGTTCTCCATCAGGAAACGGGAAACAGAGTTTAGTTTAGTGAGAAGGCACAGCTGCAAAACGGATAATATGGACGTAATGCCAGCCCTCAGAGCAAGATGGATAGAGCCCAATTCCCGACAGCTTGAGGTTGATTAACGGTCAGCCACTTTTCCAGAGATGGCTGCAGAGTTGGGGGACAGGTGTGAGGCTGTTGTTGGTCTCTGGAGTTGGAACCGGGCTGCCAATTCTTGCCGACGGGCAGCGCATGAACATGGACAGGTACCTCGCCCGAGACGGTGATTGGCCGTAAGACGAGGTAGTTTCGGGTACCTTGGCATTTCACAGGCAGAGAGCTGACTAATGAGGCAAACAGGACAAACTCCGAATTGAGCATCTTCTCAACCTTGAATGAGTCAAATCTCAACTTCAACGTCCAAAGGGCGTCTCTGAACATCCTCAGCATTGGGGTCTCCAAATGGTAACTGTAAGTCTCAGGAACTTATTCCTGTTCTGCATCGGGTGACGACCGATTTTTACAAGAGAGAATCATTGATACTTGCTCGGGCTGTGGATGAAACCCAATTGACCCTTATATGTCGAAGGATCTACTTCTCAAATACATCAAAATCAATCAATTCTGGCCTTCATGAGTGATTCACCTTGGGCCCCTTACGGTCTGTAATGGACGATTCATCTCCGCTCTGCTGGTTTGTCAGACTCTTCATATGGCAATGCTTAATAAGTCATACCCCGGGGGATCAACTCTTGAATCCTTGATCAAAAGCTCGGGAGGATCCTCAGCAAGATTATCAGCAAAGAAATTATCAATTGTGCCGTTTTTAGCTATGCCGTGTAACTTGGAGTTATGAAGCTAATCTTATCCCAGAAAGGAGCAAAACGGGCACTATCAACAGCGAATCATTTCTGAACAGCCAATCAGTTAGTTACATCAATAGATCCCAAAAACGGGGAGGTCCGAACTTCTGAACATCACAGCAGCATCCCCACGACATGACATCAAATACATCACAATTTCCATGAAACTTGTTTACCTCCAACCCTGCCGTCCGTCATACGGAATTTCGGTCTATTCAAACACCAAAATACGTGAATTGTATATATGAAATTGTGATTGGACATGTTTTACAGCTCCTGTTACTTGATATTGGCCTTGACCCTGGCTATTGGGTCCCAGCATTCAAGCGCTTCAGCTGGCGTCCAATATCCCCTTGCAACAAACCCAGAATTGACATTGGATGGAGTTCCATTCTCTATAAGGGCCTATTGGATGCGCAGAGCCAACCAAGCACTATCTGACCTGGGTTCTCCGTGTCCCTTCGCTGCATTCGGAACCGTTATCGTGAACCATACTAAGCAGGGAGAATTGGGAGACCTGATTTGCATTGGTGTAAATGAGAATAGTAAAACTGGGAACCCGACATCACATGGTAAACTCCTATTTCTGATCCCAAACACTTGTATTGACCCCTAAACCAGCGTTTGGGATTCTGTCCGCCCTCTGGAGCAAACAAAAGCGATGCGGATTTTCATATCCATCTGTCTGTTTTGGGATCCACACTTATTCAATTACCCTTTCAACGCACAGGTGAAATTGCTGCCATAACCAACTGCACCAAAGTCCTAACAGACAAAAGTGGTCGATTCAAAATGACCCCTTCCCAAACGCTAAATGCCTTCAAGGAGCTTACTCTCTATAGTAATGCCGAAAGCTGTTCAATGGTAAACATCCCTCAACTTTGCACCTTGAATCTTGCTTTTTGTCTCTCCTCTCCTCTCCCTCACCACCAGCTCCATCAGCACCCTCTAGATTTCCAACCAGGCCCTTGCTAAATTTGTTACATTCATTGTTTCTTTCAAAACAAATCCAGTGTACATCCGCCATTCGCTGGGCAGGGTTCAAAGAATACGTCTACGGATCATCGATCGAATCGCTGATCCGGAAAGGATGGAGCCAGATTCGCATTTCATCGCAGGAGATAATAGAGCGATCATACGACCTGCCCTCGTCGACCATCCTCATTGGGGAGGTCTTAGCCAACGAGACTGATCCGTATTTTGCATGGCAGTATGACCCATCTGCTCCGTGTCCGGCGGGGTGTAGCAGGTCTGGACCCAGAATGAGTTGCAGAAAGTCTGCACGCCGCGACTAATGGGACCAGCTTGTGAGAGAAAACATTGAGATCTTGGCATATTTTTCACATGTGCAGCGGGACAGGATGTACATTCCTGTTCATTAGTTATATTCCCATCTCTAACTTTGCGGTTTTATCTTGGATTTCGAGCTTATTGTCTCCCACTATGAAAACATGTTGTGATTAAATAACCAAGTCATTGGATTGATTGTTGAAAATTCATTTAATCTATTCAGTGGCCATTGCGGGATATCAATTTCTTCACTTCCAGGACGAAAAATGATAAAAGCTCATTTTGGGTATATGTCATTAATAACATCTGGTCATCCGCCAAATCCGTATCCGAAACACCCAACTCATCGACCAGGAAAAAAAAAAAAAAAAAAAAAAACCGAATCGTTTACTACGGTGCCATCACCAGCTAAGTGGACCCTCCTCACTTAGGTCCTCAAGAAGCCTAATAACCGGCTCAACAACCGTCCGCGTACTCCTCAATTGTGACCCCTGTCTTGTCCGCGTATAGAAGACAGGGCAGTCTTTACTATCACATCTCACCTCCTCCCCCCACGACGCGCCCATGCACGAGCGGCAGATCTTCTTCAAATAAACATCCCTCCTCTCCTCCTTCATCAGCCTATTCCTCATGTGTAGGAGCGAAACATGGCTATCGCGCAGACAACCGTTGCAAATCTGTTCCTCGCCCTCGTCCAATTTCTCCCGACAGACTACACACGACGAGGATTTCATATATGATTCCAGCGTCTTTTTTGTAGAGAATACCCCCTCCCTGCTTGCGGAGGCATATTCTTCTGCGCTTTCTACACGTCGCACACGCTGGTACTTGGGCACCTCGTCGTACCATTGCCGGACATTCGCACCAACGAGATTGAAAATTCGTTCAAGTGGCGGAATTATGTTTTTGGAAATGTAGTATTCTGCATCTAACTCTAGCTGCGAATCGTGAAGGAGGACTTCCGGAGGTACACATCGGTCGATAAGCCTCGCCCCGGGGACACCAGATATCACGACGTACGGAACACGCTCCCCATACTGTGCTTCTGTGCGCGGATCTTCCAGCATCCTTTTGGAACTGAGGAGGGCTCCAGGAGGAGGCATCCCTTTATCGCTATACGTCCCCAACCTAACTTCCTTGGCAAAGCAGAAGTCCTGAATTGACACCTTGCTTTTCATGATCTTGGTACATTGTTTCTGAAAATAGCTCTTCACTCGACTCAGATCGGCTGTTTCGAACAGAATCCTCAGCACCTTCTCCTCGATTTTCTGCTCCGCAGGTGTCCCATCGCGACGGACAGTTTCAATCCCCTTGGCGTCGAATTCGGGTTCCTTCTGCGATCGATTCTCGTATTTATACCCTACGTACCGTTTCTTCGCCAAGAGCACGCATGGGTGGTAAACTTTCTCGAATTTAAGTTTGATCGGACGAGGATTGGAGTTAGTGATGGTCTTTGCGATTTCTTCGCCGATATCAAATGCCTCATCTTTAGTGCGCCCCTTGAGACAAACAAAAACACTATCCGTATCTCCATACACCACCTCTGCATTCCAACGTTCAACGGAATGTATCATAGCAATAGCTTTTTCTAGCGTCTCCCGGGCTGTCTGGACGATACTGTCTGCAATTTCCGCGCATGGCATTCGTCCAGAGAACGACGCAGACGTGTATCCATAGGTGACGTTGGCGATGAGTTTCAATGCCAGTTGTCGATTGTTTAGCAAGCGCTGCAAGCTCTTATCGTCTTTCCAAGCTTTCATACCACCCTTTACCATGACTCTGGTTTCTAGAATTTCGATCAACATTTTAGCCAATAATGACTTGCGGATCTCCTGCTTAACATATATCATGCCATTGGGGGAGATGTTAATTTGATCCTTGAATAGTTCAAGGAGGCCCGCAGGCCTCCTGAAATCAATAAACCCTAGTTTATTCTGGCCCCGCCACTCGACCACTCTACCTAGGCAGGTGGAATAGCAGTAATTGTAGGCGATCATGATACTTGGATAGAGTGATTGAAAGTCAAGCACTAGAACTGGGCTGGTGTAGAAGTCACTTTGAGGCTCCATGACCAGGGGCAGGCATTCGAGTGCATTCTGTTGACCAACTTGTTTCCTGCCTGGGGAGATGAGGATGAGATTCTCAGGTTTAGCGATTCGGAACATAAGTGATTCGACTTTAAATTGAGATCCTCTCGAGAAAACTGAAAAGAAATCGACACCCAAAATGCGAGCCTGCTCACTAGTCCTGGAAATCAACTCGTTCGAGTCGATTATTTTCAAATTCAGCTGAACCCGACTGGCAAAATAGTTAATAACCTTTGCTATATCCCGAGGCCTCTGGCTCTGGAACCACTTAGTCAAGTCTTGGTAGTGATAATGCGGAATGCGTTGGTGAAGGAGATGGAAAGCAACATTCTCTATGGTGTATTGCAGCAGGTTCAACTCCCCACGCATGGCTCTCCACAAGTTGATCATATGCCGGCCAGTAACACGAATGGAAGACGTGTGATTGAAACCCCAGCGATCATTCTCCTTGCCAATTCGTCCATGGGAGTCGGTTTTCACCCTAGATAGTTCATCGCACAGATCATAATCATACTTGTACCTAGCCCTTTCGATAAGGTAACCCCAAGAACTATTGTGCACTTCATAACCTGTCAAAATATCCGGATCACATCGTCTTACCACGTCAACAAGCTTGGTTAAAAGATCAAGCTCACTGGTCTCTTCATCAAACTCTGCGACCATCGTGGGTGATATTTTGGCAGCGAGACTCTCATTCTCCGCTAGTGCTATAACCCCAACAGCCAGGCCGCTGGTCTCATCATCCTCGTCGTCAACGTCATTATCGCCATCCTGCACACACCAGAAAATACAGGAGATTTCATCTTCTTCGGGATTCGGAACAAGAGTACCACGAGAATTTACATGGATCTCGAGGCTCATGACACTCATATATTGAGCCCCTTGTCGTACTTTTCTCGCCGGCTTTTTCTGGGAATACTTGAACCCATGGCGATCTTTTTGGGTGGGCCCCTCTACCTGGGAAAGAGACGAGTTTGCAGGCTTTTTTGCGGCGGCACTGTTCTTTTGAGCCTCCTTCCGTTTACGTGTTTCCTCTTCAAGCCATTCAACAACTTCACCAAGGCTTGGAGCAGCTGGTGCGAACTCCCAAGTTCGTAGTGAACAAGATCTACGAAGTCTGTTGTTATCTCTTTCGAGTGCATCTCTATCGACAATAATAGGAGGCCTTTCTCCAAACATTGCAGGAGACTCCCCAGTCGGATCGAATGGAGGTAAGTAAGGCACCGTGGTGCTCTCTAGCTTGAACTCTCTTCCAGCATACTCCCGGGGGCGATCAGGGACGTCTTCCTCGTTGCTATAATGAGGTCCCTGGTAGATAATAGATGGCCGGCCATCGTCGTTCATAGTCGCTAGAACTTCTGAAGGAGAAGGGCATTGAGGAACGAAACTATAAAGTTTACCTTCTGGCGGTATATTGAACGATTGGTATAGACATCGCTGCACCTTCAAAACGGGGGATGGAGGCTTCCCTGGCTGTTTTAACTTGCAAGAATCGTCACTTGTGCGGCGTGTATTTTCCGATTGGAATGTTTGGGCTGGTTGACTCGAACCTTGTTTTGGAATCTGTGAGTCTAATTTGTGCGATACATCACCCAGTTGGCTCAATCTTGCTGTAGTTGCAGGATCATGAGGATCCTTGACAACATGGAAGGAGATTCGTTGATTTTTGGAAGTCTTTCCGGCAGACTTTTGGGAAGATTTCGACTGAGTTACACGGGCATGAGTAACTGTCGCGAGTTCTGCCTCTGTTGACTCATCTATGGGTAGAGCTCTCAGCAAGGACCTGCCCGTTCCGTTATGACCAACCACATCGTGTATTACTGGTATGTTGTTATCGTAGCTGAGTTTAAGCCGTTTATTCCTGGCATCTGCGTGAAGTCCAGATGAAAACGGGCGCTTTGATGTTTTAGCAGGGGGCTTTAGATTGCTAATAAACTCCTCTTCGATCTCAAATGGATCATCTTGGCTATTAATCGAGCCAGTCAACGGCCGAACCCCAACGCTTTCCAGCTTCGAGAGGGTTGTTTCTTCTGCGACAACAGCATCAATTGTCGCACCTGAGCCACTTTTGTTGTTAAGGTCTAGCGGATTGGCAGGATCCTCTCTAGGTTTGGGCTCCACTTCGTCACTTGCAATCTCAGCTTCTTGTTCATGTAAAAAAGACTCGTTCGCGTCATCATCCGAATCGTAGAAGATGTTTTCCAGATTAGGAGGAGAAATGAGGCTCTCGTCGACTTCGACATGCGCTTGGGACTCATCTGCTTCGGCATCGCCTACCCCTAAATCCTCAGATTGCGCCGCTTTCAAGTTCTCAGGAAACAGGTCTTCAACGCTACTCAATGCAGATTTAACCGCAGCTTCAAAGGGTGTCGTAGATACGAAATCCGCAAAGGCAGGCTTTCGCCCAAGATGTTCCGCATTCGCAATGGCTTCCACCTTTCCTTTATATTCCTCCTCATGAACCCAACCACCACGCCCATTATTCCTAGGATCTGCAGACATCGAAACCAGCTCATCGGGACGGAAAGGGCTGCTCTCAACATCAGAAGGATTACGCTTATCCCTCCTCCTCCTCCTCCTCCTCCTCCTTCTTCGGGCTTCTTCTTCCCACAACCCAGCCAAGCTAGGAACAAGTTTCTTGTCCGGCAGCATCGGTTGAAGCATCTCCACAAAGTCGTGATGTATTGGCCGCTCCTCGACCTCAAGGCGATTTACAATATCCTGAACATGGATGTCAACTTCTAAATCACAATGACTCTGTCGTGGTAATGTCGAAATATCGGAGACCGATCCCGGTGGAATTGACCGATCATGCCAACGATGAGTGAGGTTTTCAGAGTAGATTGGTATCGGCGCACGGAACATAACCTTGCTGCTCCTAAGGTATGCGCAACCGTATAAATTGTAGTCGCACATCCATTGCGCCAAATATTGCAGATGGCTCTCATAAGGTTGCAGGACGCGTTTCATCACAGCACCTTGTCGCAGCAGGTCTGCAAGGCGATTCATATGCATGGGGTTGAACAGGTATATCTTGAGGAAGAACCTGTATCCAACATGATACCCATAGAACGGAACACCCTTGACGAGGGTGATGTGGGCGACATAGGAGATTTTCCTTTCATAGGCATTTCGGCGATAGCTAACTGCCAGTGCATGATCGGCGGACATGTGAAGGGTGCGAATGGCAGTGTTGACTACGAATATTATATTAGGAATAGATTCAAAAATGAATAGGGAAGTTGTTTGCATTTTTGCTTATTTGATATTCTCTCTCTTCTTTTTCCCCTCGTTATCATTTTCTAACCTTCTTTCGGATTCAAGCTACCCTGATATTCGATATACAGGTATGGGAATGCGCCATGGATGTGAGCGCACACCTTTTGTCCCGTTTCCGTCGCCCCGAAAACTCGGATGACGGGGACCTTTGGACGTGCATCTTTCGGGGAGGTACCATCACCGAGAGGGAGCTCAGGGTCCAAAGCTGTAGGTATCGCCTGGTAGTGATCAATGCAATTCAGCAGCACTTGAAACTTTTCCATCTGCTACCGGGGCGCGGACAATTTAGGGATAAATATTGCATTGGGTTTGATGAAATGTTCATAGGCAATAAAATGATACGAATAAGCACTTGTCCAAAAAAAAAAAAAAAAAAAGGGCATAATCCAACAGAAAGCCTTGGGTTTCTACTATCGTTGGTCTCTTGCTTTTGACGAGGTTGACGAGGTTGATGCGAAGACGCGTAGAAGAAAGAGATTGGTTCTGGTACATTAGGTCATCAAGATGCACTGGGTGGCGCCAAACCACGTGACATGGACAGCGGACTAGGCTAATTGCTGGATCGGGCAACTCAGATTCATGTGGGATTGATTCGTTTACATCTTCAAATCAATTTCCAGAGGCACTCTAAATTCTAACTACTGGTGAAGCCATCAGTCAGATCTTTAGTAAGGAACCGGTTACCAGTGGAGTCCTCTGTGCTGAGACATCGTTCCTTGTCCATCGAATCACCATGTCTCGAAGGCCGATGAATGTGGCGGCAAAGGAGCGCAACGAGTACATTCCCAGCTTCATCTCCAAGAAACCTTTCTACGTCGATGACACGTCCTCGGCAAATGACTATCTTGAGCATCAACGTCTCCAGAAATCCAAAACAGACCAACAAAAATGGTACGACAGGGGGAAGCGCGTTGGACCGGTTGCAAGCAAATATCGCAAGGGTGCATGCGAGAACTGCGGCTCCATGTCCCACAAGATGAAAGACTGTCTGAGCCGCCCGAGAAAGTTAGGAGCTAAATGGACGGGGAAGGATATACAGCCGGACGAGGAGATTCAAAACGTGGATCTGGACTGGGATGCGAAGCGGGATAGGTGGAATGGCTATGACGCATCGGAATATCGCAATGTGGTGGAGGAATATGAAGAGCTGGAAGCGCTGAAGAGGAAGGCAAAAGAACGCGCAAGAAAGGAGTCACTACTGGCTGGCGAGACTGATGATGATGATGATGACGACGACGACGATGATGATGATGAGGAGGAGGAGGAGGGGAAGGAGAAGGTGGCTACTGGTGCGGAGGAGGCTAGATACGCGGAGGAGTCCGACATGGGTCGGCAACAGAGTACTGCTACACGCAACCTGCGGATACGAGAGGATACTGCCAAATATTTGCTGAACTTGGACCTTGACTCGGCCAGATACGACCCCAAGACTCGTCGGATGGTGGATATGGGTGCGCAATCTGATCAAGCTGCCGCCCTTGTTGCAGAGGAGAACTTTATCCGTGCTTCGGGTGACGCAGCTGAATTTGAGCGGGCACAGCGGTATGCGTGGGAATCCCAGGAGCGCGGCGATAAGGACAGACAGCATATTCAGGCAAATCCTACATCGGGTGAGTACACTCGAAAGAAGAGGGAGGAGGAAGCGGAGCAGAAGTACAGGGCACAACGACAGGCGCTGTTGGAGAAATACGGTGGCGAGAAGTATCTGCAACCGGCACCTTTGCGCGACGCTGCAGTCATCGAGAACGAACGATTCGTCGAATATGACGAAACAGGAGCAATTAAGGGAGCGCCTAAAAAGGTAGCAAAGTCGAGGTATGCTGAGGACGTGTATATTAATAACCACACTTCTGTCTGGGGCAGCTGGTGGTCGAATTTCGTATGGGGATATGCATGTTGTCATTCTACGGTGAAAAACAGCTACTGTACGGGAGAGGAAGGGAAAACTGCGTTTGAGGAAGCTCAAAATCTGTTGCTTAACGACATGGAAAGGGCCAGAGACGCGGAGGAAGAGGAAGAAGAAACACGAGGACAGACAGAGGCTACGAAGGCAGAATCCCAGCTGGCTAGGCGGGCTAAATCCGGGGATGCAAGGCTGGGGAAGCGGACTCTGCAGGAGATGCAGCAGGGGGTTACTGAGGAGGAGCTGGAGGCATACAAGAAATCGAGGAGTGCAGCTGCAGACCCGATGGCAGCGTTTCTTGGGAAGGATAAGTTGGTTCGATGAGATAGACATCAAAACAATTATTCACCTGTCTCATGATTTATTTTCATTTTCATTTTTATTTTTATTTTTATTTTTATTTTTTTAATTTCAATTTCAATTTTTATGGCCTTCTTTCCATGATTTGAGCGTACAAGCGAAGTGCTGTAACTATATGACTAGATACTGTCTTTTTCTATTAAGAGTAAAACACATGGATGAAATGCGAGCCAATGTGTGGAGAATACCCCCTTCTTATTTATTTCGTCAGGAGGGGCTTTGGGTGTTGTTTGCACGGTTTCCACATCGGCGGGAAAAATTCAACAAGCCGTTGGACAACGATCGAACCCAACGACGAAAACAAGGAGTGAAAATCGGAGCATGAACCCGGATGCGCAGTAGAATAAATAGCCAGGGGGGGCTCAAGGAGCGAGGATTGATTCAACAAACGCTTCCAGGAATAACTAGACACGCCTCTCACCCGTCCCTAGAACATACCATTCCTCGCAATCCGTAGCTGTAGCTGTAGCCGTAGCCGTAGTTGTAGCCGTAGCTGTAGCCGTAGCTGTAGCCGTAGCTGTAGCCGTAGCCGTAGCCGTATCCGTAGCTGTAGCCGTAGCTGTAGCCGTAGCTGTAGCTGTAGCTGTAGCTGTTGTTGGTTTGCTCTGTTCAGGCGTGTTGACTTGAACTGACTGAACCCCTGCAGCAAGTGCCGGGTCAGTCAGCTCGATTTTAGTCAGTCGACTTGACTATTAGTTACCTTCAACCCAACCTCACGACAAATCTTCACTTCACTTCAACCTCATCGCTCCTCCAACACTCTCCACCGCCGCCCTCGACGCCCCCATCCCTACCCAACTAGCCCCCCGGGTGAGCAGTTGATCTGTTCTCTCGTTCCTCCCGTCCAGTTCCTCGTTCGTATTCGTTTGTTTGTTTTTGTTTGTTTGTTTGTTTGTTTGGTTGGTTGGTTGGTTGGTTGGTTGGTTGGGGTTTTTTTTTTTTTTTTTTCCCTTTTTGAGCCAAAGAATCACATCAATGTAGGTCCCGCGTTCAGCAATGGATCGATAGCGAATCCCGGAAAGTCGCGGCTCTCAAGTGTTGCTCGTCCATTCGCACTCGCATTGCTGGATGCATTGCTCCTCCAACAATCTTCCCGTGTTTCCATCGTCACAACCTAACCGTTGAGAAGGTTCCCTGTCACGCGGTGCACTGCAGCCTGGGGACAACAGAGGGTAAATTTTGGTGGCAGGTATTGGCTGGCTTTTGGAGAACGAACAGCAGTCCTCGACCGAACCGAACCCCCCTGGGTGCTCTCCATACCCAAGAACGAAAAAAAAAAAAATACATAAATAAATAAATAAATAAATAAATAGAGATAAATGAAAAAATGCCGTTGCAGAAAGCTACACCGCCGCCACGAGGTCCGCAGCCCACATCCTCCAACCCTTCTCACAACGATGATTATGGCTCTGGAGGTAGGGATTTGCCCGTTCATCCAAAGTCCTGCTCTTCAGCCAATAATATACAGGCCGCGAAGACTAACAAGCGGGTGCAAGTAGCGGAGGCTCCCTCGCGAAGGGTGCAGAAAAACCCGTCTTCGGGCAGCATGACGGACAGCTCCAATTCCAGCTCCTTACTTTTCAGAAACAACGTGGAGCGTACTGGGAATGGTGTTTCGATTCGCAGACGGCAGTCGATACGAGATCGGGACCAGAATCCGAATTTTGGCTCCCGACAGGGAGATCCTGTAAAACGGTATTGTTCTAATGGCAATTGTTTGTTCCTTACTGTGTTTATCGACCGGCTAACTGTGTACACCTTTCTGTGATGATTTCTAGATCCTTTCCCAATTATTCTAACCCACAAACACGTTCAGCAAATCCTTCCATACAGTCCTCCTCGTCTCATGGGCATGGGCATGGGCATGGGCATGGGCATGGGCATGGGCGTACGGGAAACAACAGCTCTCGTTTAAGTTTCAACTTCGTTACGCCCAGCGATCTGGCCCAGGATGAGAGTCGCACATCTCCAGATAGCAGTGAATTTCTCGCTCCCATCAATTTCGACGATTTCCACAATAGCATCATGTCGAAAGAATCAAATTTGAGCTATTTCCCTCTTCCTTCGGCAATCAGCTACGATTCCAAACCTACGGCTCCCCGGTCAACACCACGATGGTCAAACCAGCAGCCACCGCAAAACGTGAATCACGTTCGGACAGCGCCGCTCTCCCGGCGAGCAAGCAATGCATCGAGGAGTACAACGGGGAGTGTGTCTACAGTAAATGGAAATGAAAAACCTCAAGCACCCAGTGCCGCTCGCGCACGTCGATTGAGCCATGCCCTTCCGCCTCCCTCTGGCGTCATGGCAACAACGACGACGGCGGCGCGACCGCCTAGAAAATCCATTGGACCGGGGAGTTTAGTTACAGACATCGGGGACCCCGGTGTCCCACGACGAAGACCAAGTTTGTCGACAAGGAAAAATGCGGTGGACGCTAATCGTTCGGCTCAGCATCCTTTTTCCTTGCAGATAGCAGCCCAACAAAACATTGATGCAGGTCCTTCTGAATCTTCAATGTTTTTAAATACACCTAGAAACCAGAAAGCAAAATCACTGCAGCCGCCTTTGCGGGTGCCCAGAGAGAGTTTAATCATTCCATCCACTAGCTCAGAACCTTCGAGGTCTCTGTCAAATAATGGTGAGCGAAGCCCAGGCAAGGCAGCCCAGCACCGGACGACTACTCCGTCATCGTCGTCGAAGCGGGTGTCGACCATGCCCCCTCATGCTCACGGTTTAGGAGCACGAACAATTAGCCCCACCGATGCCAGGCGTATGAAACGAATGTCATTGATGCCCCAACCTCCGCCAATGCCACATACACCTCCAACACAGCAAGATGCCACGCTCCCTCCGACCCGCTCTTCAGCCCAGTCTCCTTCCACAATACCCAGGAAAAGCGTTACTCCTTCTTCCTCCAGGACCACGCCAGACCCGCATCGCAAATCCTACAGTTCAGGGATATCTTTGTCTTCCAATACCAGTAATAATTCTGCTCGGAATTCTAACGGGTCTTTGCAACCAAGACTGTCCCAGAATGTTTCAACATCTAGACTACCAACTCCCAAACCCCGTACTGAAAACTCATCGAATAATGAAGAGGAAGAAGTTCCCCCAGTTCCAGCCATTCCCAAGGCGTACGAATCGCCCAAGACTGAAGGAGAGCTCCAGCTTTCCGTCACTCGAAAATCCAGTCTACCCCTAGACGCCGGACGATCAAGAGTCAGCTCAAGATTAGACTCCGATTCCGTCGATACTCCTAGTAAAAGGCCTATATTAGATGATTTCCAAGTTACCAGAGCAATTATCCACCGGGCGGATTCCAAACCTAGACCCGCCTCAAATGTTGGCAGAAAAAACCTTCAACCACTGAAGCTCCCGCCCCTTAACCTACTGCCTCTAAGCATTCCTATGACGAACAAAATTAAATCTTTGAGAGATAAAGGCGCACAAGATTCAAACATGCGTGTCTCCAGCACCCCCACACCCCTCCTGCCCTTGACCAAAACCCCAACCACTCCAATGACAGCTTCAAAGGTCAGTTTCTTTTCTCATGGTATACTCGATCAAGAGCCACTGCCATCACCGCAACCGAGGAGCACTAGTTCGCATTATGCACTCCGCAACGATCCGGTCCGATTCCGGGCTCAAAACAGTTCCAGTGCCCTCGGGCCATTGGATGTTACCTCCGACAGCAGGAGCGTTTCTCCCTATGTTTTGACGTCCATACCAGGAACGAAGCCAGAGTTTACTCATACACGACCCGAGTATTCCAGGACCAATTCTAATAGGCTGACTGGACCCCGGCCTCAAACTCAGTTTGCTACTATTTCTCCTCGTGTTGAGCCGTCGAGCTTAGTTCTGCAACCGAGTACAGATAACGGATCTGAGAGTAGCCTCCCGTCTTCCACTCGACGGGACGCCAGAGGTGATCACTATAGAGCGAAATCTCACCATATTATCACCGAACCAATCAATGATCCCTCCAAGCATAGCATCATGCCTCCTCCGAAACTTCCGGCGTCAGCTACTTGGAATAACCTGTCAAGTACTAGACAAAGCCCTACTTCCAAACCTACATATTTACAGACCAGACGTAAAGCGTCCACGTCAAGTGTCACAAATGGTATCACTCTGCGGAACCAAAGCGTCAGCAGTGAACAGAGTCTGGCTCTCAACCCCAGTTCCTCCATTGATGCCGGTGAAATTGAGAGTCAGCCCAGTCGGTCATCGTCCTTATTATCTCCTGTGCATAAACTTCTCACAAACTCCAAATCCCCTACATGCAAGCTTCGCCCTCAGGATCAGAATCTTGATCGGGACGATATATCAGCCGAAGAAGAGATGCGGAAACTGGGTAGCAAACGGAAAGATTTCGAAAATGCCGTAAGGGAGCTAGACGAGTTGCGAAGACGGGCAAACCCTAAGGAGCGAGTTGGGCCCGCACAGGCTCTAAAGATGGCTACTTTGAACATATTCGAGAAAGGCGAAATTATTGACTTCAAGGATATCTATTTCTGCGGCACGCACAAGGCGAAGAAACATGTTGGTGATCTTAATGCGCAAAGTGCCAATTTTGGCTACGACGATGAGCGTGGCGATTACAATATCGTCCTCGGAGACCATCTTGCGTACCGTTATGAAATTGTCGATATCTTGGGCAAGGGGAGTTTTGGTCAAGTGGTACGATGCGTTGACCATAAAACAGGGGCCCTCGTTGCGGTGAAAATCATCAGGAATAAAAAGCGATTCCACCAGCAGGCGCTGGTTGAAGTGAATATCCTACAAAAGCTTAAGGAATGGGTAAGTTTCTTTCTTTTTCCCTGACACACAAACTTCTCAATACAATATTCTTATATGTATTCTAACAACGTCTGCAGGATCCCAATCGACGCCACAGCGTTGTGAACTTTACTCAAAGCTTTTACTTCCGTGGGCACCTTTGTATATCGACAGAACTTCTAGGCATGAATCTGTATGAGTTTATCAAAGCTCATGATTTCAGAGGCTTTTCGCTTAAACTCATCCGCCGGTTTACGAAGCAGCTGCTCAGCACTTTGGTTCTGTTGCACAAGCACAAGGTCATTCACTGTGATCTGAAACCAGAGAATGTGCTTCTTGCTCACCCTATGCATTCGGAAATCAAAGTGATTGACTTTGGCTCGAGTTGTTTCGAAAATGAGAAAGTGTACACTTACATACAGAGTCGCTTTTACCGCTCCCCTGAAGTTATTTTGGGCATGTCGTACGGAATGCCCATCGACATGTGGAGCGTGGGCTGTATCCTAGCTGAATTACTCACTGGCTACCCCATTTTCCCTGGTGAAAACGAACAAGAGCAGTTGGCATGTATCATGGAGGTGTTCGGACCCCCCGAAAAACATCTTATCGAAAAGAGCACACGGAGAAAGCTTTTCTTCGACTCACTCGGCAAGCCTCGTCTGACTGTCTCATCCAAGGGTAGAAGAAGAAGGCCAAGCTCCAAGGAACTCCGCCAAGTCCTAAAATGCGACGATGAAGCTTTCCTCGACTTTATAGCTCGCTGTTTGCGATGGGATCCAAACCGACGCCTCACTCCCAACGACGCCTTAAACCACGAGTTCATCACCGGCATCAAATCCAACCCGCGATCACGAGTCCATCTCGTCTCGGTCAACTCGCCAGCAAAACGCATGGCTTCAGGACCGGCCTCATCAACTATCCGACCGCTTCCCGATCCCCCATCCTTTGCCACCAAGAGCGGAGCGCGAGTTCGAGATTCGTCAAGCCAGTCTCCCATTAAGAATACAGGTCCTAAACGGAGTTCAACTATCAGCACCGCCTCCACGGTCAACAGTATAAGCAAGCGAACGTCGAATGGAAATCCAATATCCGGCTCCGCTCTGCCACGGGTCTCGAGAGCTGCTAGTGGGAAAGCGGATCTGGCAACAGCGGCAGCGGCAGCCAGCCTGGTAAGCTGAAGCCCATCCATCCACACTCCGGCGTCTTGTCCTGGATTCCTTCACAACCCACTCCCACAACATGTGAATACTGATCGGGTGAGATGGTGCAGAAAACAAGATAGTTGATGCAGCGTATATATATTATGGGTATCATGCATGGACTCAACCACTAGAAGTTCGCTCTTTGTTCACATTTTCCCCAAGAAAACACTTTGATGAAAGCATTTTCTTTATTGCGATTCGAATTGGCCCCGGTCACTGCCTGCTTCATATTTTTTAACCCGCAATATCTTTTTTGCCAGTTCATACCCAACCATCTACATCTACACTTTCAGCTTTTACCTTCCTTGTATTCATTTTGACTAAAGCTCACCCTGCATTGTGTGAGTGTCTTTTGATAATGCCCCCTGTTTGTATTTAATGTCGGGGTCTCCCATTTTTCATTTCTTTTGTTGTGCTTTAACCCCTCCATTTCTTATTATGATGTACAGCAAATAAACATGTTTTCCCTTTTCCCTATATTTTCTTTTTCTGGAATGGAACGTTTCGATTTTCATTTTGGGTGATTTTTGTTCGCTGTCTTTTCCTAGGTCGTTCTCACTCATCATCGGACTTCTGGCTCCCTTTTTCCATGTCAATACCATGTTACCTTTTTCTTGGAAAGATTACCCGTTCGATTGTTATACTTGCGGTGGTCCTCGTACAGTCTCTTGTTGCTTATTCACTCTTTAATTTTTTCTCCTAGCTTATATAGACTAGGCTTCCTTTCTTCGTCCTTAGCTGTACTTGCTTGGCAAGTGTTCCATTCCGTCCCTCCCCAGTATTTTTTTTTTTTTTTTTTTTTCGTTTTTTGCTTTTTGCTTTTTGCTTTTTTTGTGAAATCTCTTAGAAAATATCGCATACACCTCTTTGCACAGTTGAGTTTTCTTTAGAGAGAGATAGAGAGAGATGGAGGGAGAGACTTGTTTTACAAGGGTGCTATCCTCCTCCATTCTTCCTCGCCTGGCTTTTACTGTCTTTGCACCTTTTTCAATTTTATCATTTCCCTTCCCCTTCTCCATATGTTTATGTCCTTTTTTTTTCCACTCCTGTGCCATTTGATTGTACATATATACATACATTGATGCAGGTGTCTTTGAGGTCCTGGGCTTGATTTTAATTGATACGTTATGGTGTTGGCTTCTTCCTGAGTAGCTTGTTATTCAGCAGGACTTTTCCCCTTCCCCCCTCTTCTGTTTTGTGTTTCAGTCAGCTTCTCTGAGCCGATAGCTATTTGCATGAAATGCCTACTCATTTTAAAAATTACATTATATGATCTAAATGTGAAATGCACCATGCTAGTTATTTTGTGAACTTTTGCATATAATTTTACTTGATAAGTCCGTTTTAAGTTTAGCGCTGTGAAGTTGTGGAAATCTGGCCGAATGGTCCCCCTCGGCTTAGTCATCGCCCATATCTACAGTTCAAACCGTAGACAATTTCGCCGCCTGGAACATATGGCTGAAGCAATACCAGACAATGTGCATGCTCCCTCCAGTCCCTTTTCTTATATGATATCCGGTTGCGAGCTTAAGTGGCGAAGGGGAGGAGATTCTTGACCTCCTATTCCGCATTGGTATTTGAGATTTTCTTGATGCCTCTATTCCGTCATTGAGAGTCGTCGTCTCACGCGCTTCATTACGAGCTAGCTATAATAGATCTAAAATCTCATATCCGCCGCCCCAATGAACGGGTTTGCGAAGCATGGCTTGGATGAAGATGCGTTTGGGGAGAAGTTTGGCATCGGATCGGGATTGAGGACTTTTGATGCGTTTCGTAAGTTTTCTTAATGGTGCATTGAATTCTTAAGCGTCCATCTATATCCTATTTTACCTCCTGGAGCGAATCGTAAAAAAAATGTCCCAGGCTAACAAACTGCTTCCTCTGCCCAACAAATCACCAGCAAAAACAAAGCCCACATACACCTCCTCAACTCGACGCGGCGGCCAGTGGACCGTCGTTGTGTTCGTCCTCTGCGCCCTCCTCTCCATCAGCGAGCTCCGTACCTGGTACAAGGGTGTGGAGAACCACCACTTTAGCGTCGAGAAGGGCATCTCGCGCGAGCTACAGCTAAACCTCGACATCGTAGTCGCAATGACATGCGACGCACTGCGTATAAACGTGCAAGATGCAGCGGGGGATCGAATCCTCGCATCAGACATGCTGAACAAGGAACCCACAAGCTGGGCTGCGTGGAACCGGGAGCTGAACGTTGCTCTGAGCGGGGGTGGTCGCGAGTACCAGACGCTTGCTGAAGAGGATGCGGGGCGGCTGATGGAGCAGGAGGAGGATATGCATGTGGGGCATGCGCTGGGGGAGGCGCGGAGGAGCCACAAGCGGAAGTTCCCCAAAGGTCCAAAGTTGAAGAGAGGTGAGATGCCGGATTCGTGTCGCATCTATGGGAGCTTGGAGGGGAATAAGGTACAGGGTGACTTTCACATTACTGCGAGGGGCCACGGGTATTTCGAGTTTGGGGAGCATTTGGATCATCATGGTATGTTTTCTATTGCCTTTTCTCTCCCAACCCAACCCAACATCCCCTATATCCCTGCCCCGTAAAGATGAATATCAGTCCTAACAAGCCAAACCCAAATATATAAAAAAAAGCCTTCAACTTCTCGCACATGATTACAGAACTATCCTTCGGCCCACATTACTCCACTCTCCTCAACCCGCTTGACAAAACAATGTCCACAACCCCCTTCAACTTCTACAAGTACCAGTACTACATGTCCATCGTGCCAACCATCTACACCCGCGCCGGCACCGTCGACCCATACAGCCAAGTCCTCCCAGACCCATCCACCATCTCCCCCTCCCAGCGCAAAAACACCATCTTCACCAACCAGTATGCTGTAACCTCTCGATCCCACGAGCTGCCCGACGTCCAGTTCCACGTACCTGGCATCTTCTTCAAGTACAACATCGAGCCGATTTTGCTGATTATCAGTGAGGAGAGGGGCAGCTTGCTGGCGCTGCTGGTCCGGCTGGTCAATGTTATGGCGGGCGTGGTGGTGGCGGGAGGGTGGTTGTTTCATCTAAGTACGTGGGCGACGGAGTTCATCAGTAGGAGAAGGCGGAAGCCTGAGGGTATGCTGAATGGGAGGGTTGGGGAGGAGGAGGATGAGTGAGGGACATTCATTTCTTTCCTCTCTCTTTTTCTCTTTTTCTCTTTCTTTCTTTCTTTCTTTTTTATTTTTTTTTTTTTATTTTTTTGGTTCTGGATAGATGCTATACATCTCCCCCCCTATTTTCCTCTAGGCTTCTCTTCGCTCTCTTTACGATTTTTTTCTATGTTTAATTGCTCGTCAAAGGTTTTTTTAGATTCTCGCGATCTTTCCAATCTAGCGTTCTATTATTCCCCGAGCTGCTTTTATTCAGGGGCTTTCTGTCTCGTTGCTCACACTTGAATGATACGTTCTCTTTCGGTAGATGGATTTGTTTGTACTGTATGCTAATTACTTTGTACTGTTTCGACAATCCAATTCATTTTTTGTGAAGTAGACCACATTAGTTCACAATTGAGGGAGGATGGGGTGGGAGTTTAAAACTGAAATTTAGGTTTTCACATACAAATTCATTTTGCTTGAGTGTGTGTCAAAGCATATGTTACATGCTAGAAAAGAAGAAAATCTCCTGGATGGGTATGTGGAACACGGGAGATAAGGACTACCAACAGGTAAAGATAATTAATAGAATGATGCCATCAGAAAGCCTCAACCAGCCAACAAATAACATATCTCGCCATTCCAACCAACATCAACACATCTGACAGCCCAAAAGCCCTCATATCCTATAAAGAACCAATCCAAACTCTTCATCCAGACAGCCAGCAACAACATTCGAACCTCAAACCTCGAAAATCTCACCAAATCCCACACCAGCCCCCTGAGCTCCATACCTCGACTCAACCAAATCCAACCTCCACCCCTTCCAATTCTTCAGCGCCTCATGAATCTCCTTCGTCCGCTCGTCCCGCATCCTCTTTTCCTCCGCTGCCCACGCCTCAGCGTCCGCATGGGACCCAACCTCCCCGTCCTTTTCAGAAAAAAGATTCTGCGCGTGACTGATATTCGACACAGCTCGGCTACGATGACGGCCATGGCCTGCAGCTGGACTGCCAGACTCCCCTCTAAAAGCAGCCAGCCCACTGGAGAGTACAGTAGTAAACGAAGAATGTTTCTGCTGTTGCTGCTGCTGCTGCTGCTGGTGTCTGCCAGTAGCCATGCTCTTACGACGGGAATGATCCGACCCGGTACCGGAAAGCCCGCCAACGAGATCCACATCATCAAACGCACCAGCGGATGAGGAACGATCGGCGAGATCGTCCTCCAGGTCGCCTCCGCCGCGATGAGAAGCACCTGCAGACAGCTCGCTCTTCCTCTCCTGCCAAATTCCACGACGCAGGTCAAAATTCTCCCCCTCAAGCTCACGAACCCGTCTCTCCAGCCGCTGCCTTGCTTCGTCTTCCAGCTCATCAAGACCCTCCTCGTCTCCAACATTACTCACCCCCTGTTTCCGCATGTGCTCCCGCTCTTCACGCAGTCGTAGATTCTCATTCTCAATAGTGATTAGCTTGCGCTTTAGCATCGTAGCGTCCTTTTCAAACTTGTCGCGTTCACGCTGGCGGATGCTACTTCTATTCTCAGACTCCTTGTGAAGATTCCCCAGCGCTTGAAGTTTTTTCTCCAGCGTTTCAATCTTCTTATCAGCCTCAGATTTCGCGGCTTCGGCCTCCTGAAGCTGCCGTTCTAGATTCTTGATTAGGGTTTCTGAAGAAGTTTTATCCACTCCTTCCTTTACAGCTTTTTCCACTGCACGGGTAAGTGAGTATTTGGCATCTGCAAGTTCACGTTGCGTTTTCTCAAGCGTAGCTTCACTACGTGAGAGCTTATCTTCGAGGGCAGATACCTGTTCCTGGGTAGCAGACGTAGTCGACGATTGCGAATTGAGCTGGGCACGTAAATTCGAGATCTCCAATTCCATAGCTTCAATCGTAGCAGATTTAGAATCTAATTCAGCAAGAAGAGCAGGCGGGGGCGACTCCGCATTTCCGGATCCAGATACAGAAACACTATTCGTCCGATGCGATTTGCTATGCAACTGCGCATTCTGCCGCTGTAACGCCGTGATCTCCGCTTTCTGCAGCAAGAAAAAACAAAATTAATCACATCAACCATCTTAAATAACTATAAGAAAAAGCAATAGAAACTATACTTAAGCAATACTTACCAACATCTCAACCTCCCCCGCCCTCTCCTCCGCCCTCCCCAGCTTCTCCTTCACCATAACCAACTCCCCCCTAACCTCCCTCAACTCCTCCAGCCGCTCCTCCGACCTCTTCCACCTCGCACCTACCTCCTCCACCTCTCTCTCAAGCCTCTTATTCTCCCTCTCCAACTCATCCAGCCTTAGCGCCTGCTTCCTAAACACCTCAGGAATATAGTCTCCATCAGGATTGAGAGGGGGTAACGATGGTGATTTGACACCTGCTGTGGCTGGCTGTGGTGACGTTGGTGAAAAGAATGGCGGTTGGCCTGTCTGCTGACTCAGGGAGGTGCGGCGGAAGGAGGAAGAGCGGAGTTTTGACTGCAGGGATAAGGACGGTTGACGGCCGTGTGGAGTTCGGGAGGGGAGTGGTTCTTCGGTGGTGTCTTTTGTGGGGTGTTCTGGGTTTTCGGTCTGGGGTGGGAGGGTGGACGTAGAAGGTTCCTGAGAAGAACGTTCTTCGGACGCATGTTCATGCTTCACCTCTTCTTCTTCTTCTTCTTCTTCTTCTTGCCCATGTTCTTGAGCGGGAGCAAGTGGGGACTGGTGAGCGGAGGGGGCAGTTTCCACTTCTTCTTCTTCTCCTTCTTCTTCAACTTTCTCAACGGAGGCCGGGGAATCAGCTGTTTCCGTCGTCGTTACAGTCGTCGCAGGCCCCCCGTTTTTGCTCTGCTCTCCAGTGCTGGCAGGTTTCTTCCCAGCCTTCTTGGCCTGTTGCTTTTGCAGTTGTGCAACCTGCAACCGAAACTGTTAGAATTGTAGTGCTATAAAACAATGCGAGCGCAAGAGCTGAAGATCATGGAGGGAGAATTGGGCCCCAATATATATAAATATGTATGAATGCTAGAGTATCGTAAATAAAAGACACCTACGCGCTTCTTCGCAGCGGCAAGTTTTTCCGCCTTTCCCTTGTCTTCTGCATCCGTCATTGTTTCTCTTCCCTTTCACCCAGCTGAAGACTATTAGGGGACTGTGATATGGAATGACATTCGATACAAAAGTTGCTTGTCGTTTTGACCTGTCGTTGTCTACCTTTCCTTCGAAGTCTTTCAACGATCTGATATCGCTTACGTCATCGCACACATCAAACTCACGTGATAAATATCTTTTTGGGGCTGTCTATCCTGCATAAGAAGAGACTCCCTTGGATGACGAATTAAGGAGAGCTTGAACATACTTACATGATATAACTATATACTAGTGAAACTACACATGCCCTCTATTGACTGAAACTGAAACCCTACAAATGCGTTGACACCGCAAGCAGGGGATCGAGTAGATGAAAAACAGAGCTCATCAGAGCCAGGCAATATGATCCCATTGTAGAAAACCTCACTGAATGCATAATCTGGCAGTGTTAAAAGATATAAATGGAGGGGGGTGGAAAGGAGAAAATAATAACAATAGTCCGAATAACATACAACAAATGCCTTCAAGACCCTTTGCTCAGAATCTAGAGGAGGAAGCAAACCCGCCATTCCAGAATCTCTCATCAACAATATAGAAGCGTATGCAATGTATGCGTGGAGGACAAGCGACCGAGATAGAACATCCAAGATAACAAAAGCAAAAACACGATGGAGCCCTGGTATCATCATCATCAGCCAAAAGGGAAGGAAAGAAAATCAACGTGAAAAGCACAAATCCATCGAACGCCGCATCCAACGGCCTCTGGGTGGACAGGGCAGACAGCACCTCAGCTTGGGGAAACATGCAGGGTAAAAGAAAAATATAAAAAAATAAAAAAAATAAAAAAATAAAAACAAAACCCAATTTCTCGCCCACAAGAAATATGCTCCGCCCCAATTCCATATATCTCAGCATTGCCAGTACATTATATCCCCAACTTAAACCTCCATGGAATCCGCAATCTCATCACTAACCGCGCACATCGAACTCTTACTCCTAGACTTAGACTGCACCTCCTCATCGCTAAGAAGATAATTATCAAATTCATCAACAACAGGCCTAACAGGCCTTGATGACGCCTGAGGGGTTTCTTCCACCTCATCCTCCTCCTCCTCCTCCTCCTCCTCCTCCTCCTCCTCCTCCTCCTCCTCCTCTTCCTCCTCCTGTTGGTCTTCCTCCTCCTCCGCACTGGCCCCGCTCACCGGATCGCCCAGCCAGTACTTTACCCGTTTCCTCGCCCCATAATCCGGCGTCGAAAATCCGTCATCCCCATCTCGCATATCAACCAGTGACGGTGTCGTGGATCCATCCGGCAGGTGGTTGAGGATACTAATTCCGCGAAGATATAGGTAACAGACGCGTTTGCGCGTCTTATTGAAGAAGAAATAGTTCAGGCTCCAGATGGACCCTTCTTCACCGTCGTAGGGGTCTTCCTCAGGTGAATAGCAGAATATCGCGCATTCCCTCAGCGACATTTGATTGTCGATTATCTTCCACATTCTGGGCCCCCACGAATGCATTGTGGAGGAGGAGGGACGTAGACCGAAGGTCGTGGTTGATGTTTGAGGGGTGACGTCACGCGTCATGCGGGGGCGGAGGTTAAAGAGTGCGGTATCGATGACATTCATCACGCACCTTAGGCTTTTCTCGCATTGGAAATCGGATGGCCGGAGGAGATGGGAGAAGTCATAATCGGGATGGCTGGCGTTTAGCGTCGCGATGAGATAGGCGAAGGTACGACGGCTTGAATGTTCGCTCAGTGGGCCGAAGGGACTTGAACGCGATAGGTTCAGCGATTGTGCGGCCTGGGAGGCGTTGGGCTGGGAGAGGGAGGCGGAGAGCCGGAGGAGCGATTCATATTGCGATTCCAGCGCGTTTTCGATGTTCTTGTATAATTTCTTGTCACCTCCTGCGGCCTTTGTTGTATACAGATCACAACCACCAACGACGTGGCAGTCCTCTGTGTCGAAGTTGAGGGCGCCTGCTACGTCTTCAAACTCACTGAGTGGGAGGAACTACATGGCATAAATTTCATCAGCAACACTAACACTCCAGGAAGGGACATAGCCCCGAGGATTGCTTCGTCGGACCTTCATGACTGTAGATGATGATGGTTCGTTGTGATTATCAATTCACGGGCTTGATTGATAGTGGATTCTTTGCCGGTAGTAGTTCGATGTGATAGCTCTGCGGAAGCAACCCGAGCAGCGATAAGCGCGTTGCAGGCTTGGTGCAAGGACAACTCTTAGATGATCGACTGAGCCAGACGACGAAGGTCTAGCAGAAAGTAGATGAGGGCAGGACAGGCATCGCGGCAGGTTTACTGGAGTTGATGCTATATTGGTAGATGGTGAGGGGTGAGGGGTGAGAAGTGAGAGGTGAGATGTGAGAGAGGGTGAGAGGGATGTTCATAATAAGTGTGGTTTGGGTTGTGCTGGAGGGGTAATGACGCATGTTTCTTGCTTTGTGGTTCAACTGCGGGTCCGGGGTCACGTGGTCGCTGTGCAGCCGCAACTTCGCCATTGGAAGTGGCGCTGCTTCCTGATACAGCAATTGGCCAAATCAGTCGCAAACACGTAGCAGACTCAAGGAAGGGAGAAGGAGCGAACAAGATAAAGGATCCACACTATTGAAGGAAAGAGAAGAACAAACAAACACAACAAACAACAGCAACAAGAGCAAACACAGCAAACAACAGCAACAAGAGCAACAAGAGCAACAAGAGCAACAAGAGCAACAAGAGCAACAAGAGCAACAAGAGCAACAAGAGCAACACCAACAACAAAGCGCCTGGCAGCCCCTGGTAGGCTCCTGGAAATACTCCCTTGTTTCCCTAGGCACAGTGGTAAATATGAACAGTAGTATTTGGACCCCAACCGGGGATAAAGGATGAAAATGCTTGATCAACTGTTGTTGACGGTAGCAGCTGAGATATTTGACTGGCAGAACTTGTAATCGGCCATAACCCTCCCGATCTCCAATATGGAACCAACCAGTTAACAGTTAGCATGAACAATGAACATCGTCCGCAACAGCAAGCTAGAATCCCAGTTGTCTCAACGCAGCCAATTCAGCCTCAGACTCCTGTAATTCCACCAAAGAATGATCAGCAACTTTCGAAAACATGGGTAACACTCAAGAAAAGGGTGTATAGGAAATATGATCGTCGTATATGATAACCCTATCTTCCGGGGAAATATCCTTCTCCCAAAACAATAAAAATGATGCCGGACGCCGAAATTCACATTCGCCAAGGACAAGATAGGCAAAGCAAAAACGGCCTGCGTAGGAGCCGCTACAAAAGGAAAGGAAAAAAGAAAAAAGAAAAAGGAGGGACGACAAGCTGGGGGGTTCTGCCATGGAGATACCCCGCTACATAATCTTCGTAACCACATCTCGCTCGACCTGGTAGCGGGGTTGGGGAAGAGAGGATGGTTAGCAGGAATATGGCAGTAAGGCGATGGCCATAAAGGGGAAATGTTCGGTGCATTGGAGGGGTGAGAGATGGGAGGTGGGGAGGTTGGATGGGTGGTGGGTTGGTGATTGTGATCTTCAATCGGGGGGGCCAGAGGCAGCAGTTTATTATTAACAGCTTACACTTTCTGCTCTTCCTTTTTTTTGCCCTCTATTCTTTCTCGTCCCTTACCTCTACACCTCTATATATATATGACCCGCCACTCGGATCGGATTTTACTCAAAGAAACCCTCCCCCTCACTCACCTCCATATCCTCCAAACTATCCTGCTGCGAAATGCACCTGAGAACATTCTTCTTGCTGCTCTCCTGCATCTCCCCGGCGAGCAGCAGCTCGTCCAGGATGAAATACGCCTTCTGGAAATTGAAGATGATGTCCAGTTCGCAGACGTTGCCGTAGTACTTGTCCATCTGCTCGACGTAGCGATGGACAATCTCGAGGATGATCAGCTCGTTGTCGGAGGAGGAGCAGCCGGCGATGAAGAAGAGGGATGCATAGCGGCGGTAGACGACTTTGGTGTCTGCAGGTCATCTGTGTTAGACTCATTTCCCTGTAGATACATACATCCCATACATCCATATATAGACATAGATATAGACATAGATCCGTGGACTTTTATCGCACCTTTATACTCGAGAAAGTTGCACATGCGAGTGCGCCTCGAGAGGACGAGCTGTGTGACATCTTTGATGATTTTGGCCTTGTCTTTGGGAGACAGGGTGGAGAACCATTTTGCAAGTCTCTGGAAGGAAAAGAGTGTGGGAGTTAGATTTGTTATTTATTTATTTATTTATTTTTTCGTATCGTAGTATAATTAGAACTCGTGGTGGAAGTGGGCCTGGATTAAGGTGGGTGACGGGGGGGAACTCACCACTTTACCCTGCCTCGACAACAGTATTAGATAGCTGCAGACGGGGGTTTATTGGTTAGCCATATTGTTCCTGGAGGATTGACAAGTAGCAATATTCCGACACCTTACCTGATTGCCATCTTCTCTCGACAGGAGGGTAAAGAATGTGGCAGTGGAGGATGTTTTGTATGGAGAAGTGATAGTTGTATGTTTTTCTATTTTTTACTTCCAACAGGTTGGTTTGGTTGCTTGGTAGGAATAACGGGTGTTAGATAAGCCAATCAAAGCTGCCGCCCCTCAACGACAACGGTTGGAACAGTGAGCAGCGCAAATCCAACGCGACGACTCTTCGATCATTGACGTAGGATTTGAAATGCTCGTAGTGGACTGCGGCCAAAACAAACTGCAGAAAACATATAATAGCACATATATTTATTGACTGCCATTCATTCCATCACTAAGATTAAAGGGTTCATCTCACAGTCTAAAAGTAACTACAGGTCACCATGAGGCTGCTTCTCTCTACATCGTATGCGTGCAAACCCCCCCCTGGCCCCCACCCACCACCATTTCAAACATTAGGAGTTGCTAAGGCATCAAAAGAAATATGTATAAGGCTAACACCAAATCCAGAAACATCGTCAGTGGCGGGCCCTCTGTTATCCAGAGACAAACCTGCAACAAATCCAACGTCGAACTCCTCAACGCCCTCCGCTCCAACTTCGTCGCAGCCCAACATATCGAACCGTCACACACAAACACAAACGGCGCCCTGCAGGCAATCCACGCTGCCCCGCAAAGACTCTCATACAGCAACTATACTACCTGGACATCCAAGCAAGGACAGATCCTCTACGTGCCCGCCATTGACTTCTCAGAAGGGGGCCTGATAGAAGACCGCGACCAGTATGACATCACCGTCAAACTCTTCTATCTCCCAGGAGTTCCCGCCTCACGCCGCTGCGGGCATACACGTGAAGCGATAGACCTCGTCCTGAAGGAGTTGCACGTTAGCTCCATAGACCTGCTCATCGTATCGTTCCCCGGAATCTCATTTGACGAAGACGATGAAGACGACAACGAGGGCGAACGAGAAGATGTAAGGGTGTCAAACGGCACCAAGGCCGGCTGCGGCAATTGTACCAACGACCCATCCGTAGCACCAGACCTGGAAAGCATAGTGCAGACCTGGCGCACTCTCGAATCCCTACATGCAAAGGGCATGATATTTCAACTGGGGCTGGCGGAGTTTGACAGCGATCGCCTGGCCAGATTCCTCCCGCATACCAAAATCCGGCCCGCCGTTGATCAGATTAACGTCAAGGATTGCTGCGTCGTGCCAAAGGCGTTGATCCTCTTTGCCAGACAGGAGAATATCGAGTTGCTGACACATAATGATTGTACGGATATTTTGCCGCAGGGGACGATCCGGGATTTGCTTGCGAGGGGGGAGAAGGGCGCGGGGATACTGTCGCCAACGGCCACGGCGGAAGATGGTGGGTTGAATGGCGATATTGTGCCACAGTGGGTTGTGAAGTATACCGCTGTGGTAAAGGACAGGGGGGTGATTGAGAATAAAGGATATTTTGCGCTTGCGGAAGTGGGGAGTTGTATCAATTCTACTGAGTTGACGGAGTAGATATATCATATGAAGAAAGAAAAAGCAAATTATGTGCTCTTTTTCTTCCTGCTCTGGACGCTGGCGTTCTTTATCTTTTCCAGTTATAGCCCAAAAACATGGCATCTCATGTAAGTTTCCGGGGCGCCGGTAGTTCTTGTCCTTTTTGATCACGGTGAACATCTAGCTAGCATTCTGGTTTCTTGTTTCATGATTCGTTGATTATACGTATGCCACATTTGAAATAAAAATGAGAGAAGGGGAAACCAATAAGCCGCGCCTTTCCTGCAGGGCAATTATTATCACCCGATCATACTCCTCTTCCGTCCCCGCAACCTAACCTGCTCAAGCTTCTTCAACACCAGGTTCGCCCCCTTGTAGCTCTCAGCATACCCCGCAAGAACCTCACAGAACAGTGGCTCTGTTCTCGGATGCGAGCTACCAAACGCCCGTTCAAGGACGTACAGGTCGACGGCCCGATCCTCATCCTGGATACTCTGCCCAGCAAGGCCAAAGTCAATGAGGACGATTTCCCCATCCAGCGAAGGTTTTTCCGGAATCTGTAGCCCAGCATCCTGCGTAATGCACGTACTAATCAGCTGGGTTGATTCTGTCTCCTTCCCTTCCACCGACTGGTGCGCACTGGTGTGTCCAACGGGTCTCAGCATGAGGTTGCTCGTCGTTAAATCACCATGCACAATACCAGCCTGATGCATAGCGCCAACAACAAGCCCAATGCGCCTTAGCAGCACGCATATCTCATCTTCACTCTTCCTTATTTCCATATGATCACTTAGCCCGGCTTTCTCCTTCGATTTCACCCATTTCTCCCAACAGTCAACAACCTGCCTAACAACAATGCCATCCACCCACTCCATCAGCAGCCATGCAGTCCAGTTCGAGCTCCCCTTCCCTGCCATATCCTCCCCCTCCTCTCTGCTCTTCCCATCCCCATCTCCATCAAACCCACACTCAACGTCCAACGCCAGCACGCCAGGCACAGGGACCTTCTCCCTCGACAACTTCACCAAACACCGTGCTTCCTGTAATATGCGCTGGCATGTCAATCTGCTATCGAGGATTGGATGCCGGTAAGGTTTTGCAGGGCGGACTTTGAGAGCGGCGGGGGTGGAAGGTGTGAGGAAGGTAGTTTTGTAAAGACGACCTTCGGCGCCCTGGGCCAGGAGGTGGGAGGGGGAATTGGTAAAGGGGGGAGGGAGTGGGGGTGGGGTATAGGTTGAGGACATGGTTTTCTTGGTTGGTGCCGGTGTGTGGTAGACTGGGAGGGGACGCTTTTTGGGTTTCCGGATTAATTAATGCTAGGATATATGTATGGATGTGAGGTGTAACGAGGGTATTGATGTCTCTGGGATTAGGGTTGGAGTGGTGTTTGTATCTGGCGATGCGCCGATGTTGGGATGCTTTTTCCCCGTTGTGTTTTAGATTATCGGAGACCCTGGAGTTTAACTAACAGTGGCCCTGGCGGGGAGGGTGAGATTACCCCTAATAACTTAACGAGCTTATTAGTAAGTTAGCTAAACATCGACCCCCCCAGCAACCCCAACTGGTCTCCATAAACGTCTTCTTGAGTTTTCTCAATTCCCTCCCCTCTGCATCATTCCGCCATGCTACATCGCATCGTGCTGCAGTTACAATCATACATATAAGAAGTGTCCAAGTTTGAACCCCTCTTGCCCCATTCAACCATGTCTACACATCTGCAATTCTATCTTCCCGGCCCTTGTAATAATGCTACACCAACACATCTGCAGAGTAAGCTGGAGGGAGAGACCCAAGAATTAGAAAAGCAGCTAATTTCAGTTCTAAAATCCCCCGCTCCATATATTGCTCTGATCTTACTATTGCTGGATAGCCATGTGTTGATTTCGCCGGTGTCGATTTTATGGATCTCGCGATCTGTACGTGCGCCGGCATCTTCTCAAGCTTTGGATACAAACTGCGGCGGCATTATGGAGAATCTGTGCTTCTCGTCTCCGAATGTCGCGGACTGACATTATGGGGCCCTGTAAGTTGTATTATATGTATATGCAACTCTAGAAACTGGTCGATATCAGTGCTCCGGGGAATGCGTCAAGATGCGGTTAAGCTCAGGACCCGAGCACGGAACATCAACCATGCGCTTCCAGATCCTTTTGAATCTGTAGTGCATTTGTCGTGGATCTGTAATCGCACGATTTACTGGATCCTGGAGCTGCCACTTGCAGCTCAGGTTCCATGAAATGATGCATGATGCATCATTATTTCAAGGGCTGGGTGTTGACCCCTCTGCTCCTCCTGGGTGCTGGTGGCGCAGAGAGGATGGATGTCCTCATCTAATTTTTACTTCCAAAAGTAAACATGTTTTATTTCACATATATTTCCAATCATTCTCTGCGACGAAGGTTGTCTAGAGCTCTCCGTTTGTATGTCCGAGCCGTGTGGGTGAAGTTTGTGTGTCTTGGTGGTGATTTGCTTCCCGCTTACTATTGTTCTCCATCCCACGCATTGATCCTGTTCATATTGTTCTTCGAGCTTCAAACACACCCTTCACCCTCACATCTGCATTTTTTGGATTATTTCTGGCTCTCAAAGGCTTTCGATGGCTGCCGCCCGCCGTGCACTGAGGGAATACTGTTGTGTTGCTGAAAGCCTCTTTGAGTTACAACTCAGATATTGGATGTATATCTGTTTGTGCTGCACGCTTCTGCCATTCCTCTTCGCTTCACTCTTGCACATTGTTCTCCCCATATCAATGTCTCATGTATATATACAAAGCCTGGACATAATGCATCTTCATTTCAAGCGTTTGCTATTTGGCCATATTATCCCCTCCCCGATCAATGCGCCCTTGCCCCTTGTCATCAGTGCGGGCGGGATCTTTCACTGGTACGGTTGATGAAGCGACTGTGTGATAATATTTTATTATCCCCCATCCGCATCCATTCCTCTGTTCTGTTACTTCCCATCTCTCTCTCTCTATATGTACCTCTACATGCACCTTGTCATTCTCGTCCCTCCTGTTCTCGTTCGACTTCTGGAATCCCCTTGGTCAGTCGAACAAGGTCAACAGCTTCCTCAATCAACCTCCTGAGTCAGTATATTTCTCTCTCCCTAACCAGCTCATACACCAACTGCTCACGAAGCAAGATCTCCACCCACGTAGATCAGCCATGGCACCCTCATTCGACCCCTTCAACCAAAGCGTGGTCTTCCACAAGGCCGACGGAACTCCATTCAACGTCTCAATCCATGAACTAGACGACTTCGTGCAGTACAATACCAAAGTCTGCATCAACTACTCTTCCCAGCTCGGAGCATCTGTCATTGCAGGACTCATGCTTGCCATGCTGACACACTCAGAAAAGCGTCGTCTGCCAGTTTTCTTCCTAAACACATTCGCACTGGCCATGAACTTTGCCCGCCTGCTCTGCATGACCATCTACTTCACCACGGGCTTCAACAAGTCCTATGCCTACTTTGGTCAGGATTACTCCCAAGTGCCTGGGAGCGCCTACGCAGCCTCTGTCTTGGGCGTTGTCTTCACCACTCTCCTGGTAATCAGCATGGAAATGTCCCTCCTGATCCAAACAAGGGTTGTCTGCACGACCCTTCCGGATATCCAACGTCATCTACTCATGGCAGTTTCCTCCGCGATTTCCCTGATGGCCATCGGGTTCCGCCTTGGCTTAATGGTTGAGAACTGCATTGCCATTGTGCAGGCGTCGAATTTCGCCCCTTTTATCTGGCTTCAAAGCGCCTCGAACATCACCATTACGATCAGCACATGTTTCTTCAGTGCCGTCTTTGTTACGAAATTGGCATATGCACTCGTCACTCGTATACGACTAGGCTTGACGAGGTTTGGTGCTATGCAGGTTATGTTCATCATGTCCTGCCAGACTATGGTGATTCCAGGTGAGGGAATTCCCCCTCCCCCTCCCCAAGAGATCCATATGCCTGTATATTATCAACCACATACTAACACAGTGCGTCCATAGCCATCTTCTCAATTCTCCAATACCCACTCCCCAAGTACGAAATGAACTCCAACCTCTTTACGCTGGTGGCCATTTTCCTCCCTCTTTCCTCGCTATGGGCTTCAGTTGCTACGAGATCCAGTTTCGAGACGTCTTCTTCCGGCCGCCATCAGTATCTTTGGCCAAGCGAACAGAGCAATAACGTCACCAATTCGGAAATTAAGTATCAGGTCAGCTTCTCTCAGAACCACACTACGTTGCGGTCTGGAGGGTCTGTGGCCACGACACTCTCCCCGGACCGGCTCGACCCGGTTTATTGTGAAGTTGAAGCTGGCACAAAGGCCTGAATGGACAGTACTTACGGTGGCAATGCCGTGGGGATTGTTGACTTCAACTGCTCCGTGTACATTTCTTTTTAATTTTTTTTTAGTCACGCATATAGGTTTTCTCCTGCTTTTATTTCCCACATCTTATTTCACTTCGATTTCTCCTCTTTTTGTGTCTCTCTCATTGCAGGATATGTTTCTTGCTGTACCATTTCAGATTCCCCCTTCCTGTGTCTTTTTTTCACGGAGCCAATAACTACTATACTTAGCCATGGCTGTTTAGTTAGTAAACAGCATACCTTCGCAAATCCCCCGGTAGTTATTCAAATATTCAAACAAAAACAAAATCTAATGTAAATTTACACAATGTATTAAAATAGTATCTATCATCATCATCAAGTCCATGTCTCCCGTTCCTGTTGATGGTAACTAGCCGAGAGTGTCCTGTCGCTGGTTGAGCGGCTTCCGATCTCTGGCCGCCGACATCAACCATCAAATAAATTAACTAGCCACTCGTCACCGCCCAACCACGAACATCTCCATATGCGCCATGTCGATACTCTTTCTCCCACACCACAACCATGGCTAGAGTGTCGCAGAAGACATTAAACTGGCTACATCGAGTCCTATCAAATGTAAGTTCTTCTTCCCCCGAACTCCCCGAGGGAAATCCTCTAAATCGTACGTCCGTTTCTAATGCTGGCGACTTCCGCAGGCCGAATACGGTCCTGATCAAGCATACAAAGACCCCAGCAGGACGTATAACGATGTAGCAAACCTGCTGTTCCAACACCCCGACTTCACCCCTCAGACAGATGTCTACAGTTAGCCATCCCTATCCCTCCCATTATCCTTCCATGACCCGCGTTTTATAGGTCCATTCCTTTCCGTGTTTTAAGGCTAACTCGTTCCCCTCTTTTTCCTTGTGATGTAAAATAGCATACGAAAATGGCACGCCTGCTCTACTCCTTCATATCTCAGGAACGCTTCCTGTCACCTTTCGCGGAGCCATTTATAGATTTCCGTTAACGATATGGGTGCCCAAGGCATATCCCCACGAACCACCAATGATGTACGTCACCCCGACGCAGGATATGCTGGTTCGGCCAGGACAGCACGTTAGCGGGGAGGGAAGGGTGTATCATCATTATCTGGCACACTGGGCGGATGCATGGGATGTGAGTACTACGTCTCATTTCTTAAATGGGGAAGAATTGGTTTTAGTCATTGTGTGGGCATCCCAGTCTTCTGGCATGGAGGAACTAGCTAGCTATTTCATACCAATATCTTGAAAGAAATGCACTGACTTGGAGTGTTGTATTAGCGGTCGACGATTGTTGATTTCCTGTATATCCTCCGAGACATATTTGCGAAGGAACCTCCCGTGATATCGAAACAGCAACAGAATATATCACATATGGCTCCGCCACCCAAACTTGCTCCGCCAATCGTTCCCCCTTTACCGCGGGAGCTCATCGAGCCCGCAAGTGCAGTCCCCTGGCCATCTATACGAAACCCGCCTCTTCCTCAGTTACCACCGAAACCGGCCCAAATAGTAACAGACCCAAGGCAACGAGGACCGTTTCTGCCTGCGCATAGCCAACCATCGCCTTTGACCCCGTTCCCTAACGATATTCGTCACCAAAGAACTGTATCCAATGCCCAAATACAGAGTCCTCATATTGTCCGTTCTCCACAACAGAGATCTAATAGCCTAAGGCAGTTCACACCACCAACGCAAATGGGACCCCAACCACCAGAGCTACCTCTAAAGCAAGGCTTCCAGCAAGGTGGATATCGACCACAGTTTACCGGACTGGTTAGCCCCAATACTGTAAAGGCTCACCCCCCAATTCAGCCGGTCGCGCCTGTTTCTCGAATACCACCCTTCCAGCCACGGCCGCTGCCGCGATCACGGTACCCCCAAGGCCCGTATGTGCCTCCACTACCTCACCCGGGTCCACAAGCCTTGCCCCAACCTGGTCCACAACCCCTCGCCCACCCTCGACCCATCCAAGCACCGTCCCACGGCCCAGTTCAGTTCCCTCACCCCTCTCACCAACCACTGCAACCGGTCCCCGTGAAGATACAGACCGGAGCACTCGATCTATTAGCCTCACCGTTTGAACTTGAGCTCCCTTCCATTTCAATGTCACAGATTGCACCGCCCATCCCTCCGAATCCAGAAAAGGACGCACTTCTCCGCACGCTGTCCAAGACCCTCACCCAAACACTCCAGGCAAACGTCGCTCAGATAAAGTTCAGTCTCCATCCCCTCCAATCCCAATCCAAAGCCCTCAAGGCCGCCATCTCCACCCTTGAAGCCGAAATCTCCTTCCTAAACTACTTCCGTACAACCATCCAATCCAACACGGCGATCCTTCAACAATCCCTCCGACGTGCCGACGCCGTCATTGCGGATGCGAAAGCACGCCTATCTACCAAACCCCCAGCGCATGCGACCATAGGTGCCAAGCCGCCATCATTGTCCGACCCAGCAGCTGCGACAGCGGTAACGGTAACAGAATATCAAAGGCCTACTGGCCTTCCCGCTGTCGACGATGTTCTTGTTGCACCTACCGTGGTCGGCAAGCAGGTATATGACCTCGTCGCTGATGAGCGGGGGATTCAGCGCGCAATATATGTTTTGCAGGCTGCATTGGTAAAAGGGCGGGTGAGCGTTGATACCTGGGTGCGGTTGACGAGGGGGTTGGCGAGAGAGGCGTTTTTGAAACGGGCGCTTTTGAAGAAGGCTGGGAAGGGGATGGGATTGGTTGTTGAGGAGGGTTAGTAGTTTATTTGCTGTGTATTTGAAACATATTCCTGTGGGAATGGAGCAGAGAAGTATAGAGATCGGATCGAAGAGGTATGTTATAGAGATTTCGAGTATGAAAGAAGATGTGGATGCCAGTATACATATAAGTCTACATATCTACCTGACAGGATTAATATCAGTGTTTTATCTCGATCTCCCCAATTATTAATGTCTTGAGTATGCGTATGGAAGAGTCAGTGAGGGAACAGCTGCTAGACGTCGATTGTTGGCATCTTCAGTTTTGTAAAGCGCACTATTCAGACATGTTTTTCGGTTTTACGATGGCCCTCTCGGTGGCTTCAGAGTATTGAAGTCGCACCCTAGGGATATCCCTAAAGAGAGCGAGATGACCAGGGAACCTGCGGCCCAGAAATAAGTGACTTGCTCATGTCGTGGGGCTAAAGATTTTACACTCTATTTCCAAATAAGATCGCAGAATACTTTATCATTGTCGACGTTGTTGTCGATTGGATATGATAGAAGTTCCTACAGCCCTATTTTTTGGTTGAAAGGTACATGATTCGATGTTGGCGACCCCCTATCCGGATTATATAAGCATCACTTCGGCTCGTCGAATTAGTCGAGTTAAAAAAACTCGTTCACTTTTGCCGAACAATTGTCAGAGCCAAAAAATTTTCCTTCTCAAAACCCTCCCCTACAATTTCACCTACCCTCCCCTCCTGATTGCACTGGCGCTGATTGAGGTGTAAATCAAATCATAGCGAAGATGCGTTTCCTCGCTCTCCTCCCCCTCCTCCTTGTCGCTCTCTACCAGCTCGACCAAGCGCTACCTCGGTTCTACATCTTCGACCCGAAGAAGCTCCAGGATCTATCCAAAGCTTCAATTGAGCGACACCCGAACAATGTGACTGCATTGATGGCGGATCTCAATCAGGCGCTGCGTCTGGAATACGGGCATAAGCATGTGCTGCCTTTTGATACGGATCAGGATCGATGGGTTTTCAGGTAAGCGTTCTCGCGAGATTGATTTCGATGCGTTTAAAATTAAAAATTAAAAATTAAATAAAAATTAAATAAAAAATTAAATAAAAATAAAAATCTCAAGGACCGCGATTAAGAAGGAAAAATGAAGGAATGATGAAAAAATATACCCTCCTCCATGACCAGTTCGCTCTCATCCTAACTAAACGTCATTTCCTGCTCTCCTTCTGACTTGTACTTGTACAGCAACCACGGCAACGCAATGGGAGCAATGCTCATCCTCCACGCGTCGATAAGCGAATATCTCATTTTCTATGGCACTCCCTTGGGATCCGAGGGCCACTCGGGCGTCCATCTTGCAGATGACTACTTTACGATCCTGCACGGTGTTGAGCGACGGTTCATGCCCGGCGAGCTCGAGGCGACGGAATATTATCCCGGAGACCAGAATTGGCTGAAGAGAGGGATGGGATCGCAGTATCAGCTGCATGGATGGGCGTTGGAGTTGGCGCAAGGTGAGAGATGTATTCTTTTGTTGTCATATTCCCACCCCGGGTTTTTGCTTTATGCTCTTTTCGTTTACCCTGCTCTGTTACCACTCCACTCCACCCACCTACCTGCTTTCGCGCGTTGAAACAAATCTTCTAACTGCTTCCCATTTTGTCGTCTAGGCTGGATTCCATCGATGCTTCCGTTTGGCTTTGTGGATACCTTTACGAGCACATTGGACATTATGAATCTTTGGAAGACTGTTTACTGGACCGCAAAAGGTATGGTTGGGCAGCTCTTGGTAGGGAAGTTTTAATCTTCTATACCATTGGACCTTTATTTTAATTTTAATTTTAATTTTTAATTTTCATTTAAATTTTAAATTTTAAATTTTCTTTCCTTTTTTTTTTTTTTTTTTTTTCACGTCCCTCGTATATAGACCTAAGTTTGCTGTGAAGATATGTTCGCGGATAACCTCGTATAGATGCCGGAAGTAATGGAAGGTATGTCTTGAAAAGATCTCATCGAGATACCGGCTGATAGAGGAATGCATGCTGTGCAGCAGGCAACGCGCATGTCTATGCACCGGACTGATGTAAAACAAAACTCCATTTTCTATTGTGGAAGAAGAACTGTTAGCACGAACTAAATCTTAAACTGCGATCCAGCATGAGCAAACCGGGAGCCCAGAAATACAGCGTTTGCACATCTCCTCTATACGGCCTTGTCATATATGCCAATACGGAGGTGAATCGCGTGCTGCCAACGGCAAACCGAGGTTCAATGAAGATCAGGCACCATCTCGCGCCTGCACGCTAAACGCCGGTCCACTGCGGGATGACGTCATTGGCGTTTAATCCGAGGCCAACTTCCCCTGATGACATCATAGGGGGGACGACGTAAGAATGATGTCACAGGCCGCTTCCGTGCAAACTGTCCTGTGGGTGAATTTTACTGGGATTGCGGTTATGAATTGCCGCAAGTGGACGGTGAAAGGGGGTTGGTGTGAATGGATATGAGGGAGTTGTATATAAAGGACCCGGTATGCCTACGATTTGAACGTCATTCCTAACAATATCCAACACAAGCTCCAAATTCACAGAACAATCCCTCTGATCAAAATCTAATCCTGAAAGAATCCCACATCGTACGAAAATAACATTTGCCTATCTTCTTCACACATACCAATCTACAAATCCCAACACCATGTCTTCCTCCAACAACCCCGAACCGCAGTCAACCACCTCCTCCTACGTGGAGCAGGCGTCCAACGCCATCAAAAACACCATCAGCAAGGTGACTGGGGGAATCACCTCCCAAGATGACAAGGACAAGGACACTGTACGAATCTCCTTCCCCCTCACCATTTAGGCCTATCCCGAACCAATATCTATCATCTCTCAGAAGCCTCAACCTCCCCCAAGAGGCCAGTACAACCAAACCGTCGGCTCTGCCAAACAAACCGTCGGCGCCGCTATTGGCAACGACAACCTCCGCAAAGCTGGAGAGCGCCAGAATGCAGAGGGGGAAAACCAGAAAGCACGCCGGTAGGCGCATGAGTGGGCCGAAGGCGCTGGGGATCGTGTGACCGGCAAAGTGGGCGAGCTCCTCTCGGGTCCCGGGTTCGGAGGGAGTGACGAGGACAGAATGAAGGCCGAGGCGGAGAGGAGAAAGTTTAAGCAGATGCACGAGGAAGGGAAATTGCAGCAGAAGAGTGCTGAAGAGGATATTGATCAGCGATGGGGCGGTGATGACAAGTAGACCAAGGAAATTGGGTCTTTTCTATCTTTGTCTTTTCTGATTTCTCTGTTGTTTTCTTTCTTCTTTTTTTTATTATATATTTAATGAATTATGGCTCCTAACCTGATGACAGTCTCGTCAGTTGATTTGTGTGATAGTTCAGATGTATACCAAATTGACACCAAAATTTTATTCTGTTCAACTGCAGTAACCTTTGTCTTCGAGAGGTCGGGATCGGTAACTAGTGTAACTAACGTAGTTAAAATGCAGACAGAGATCTCGCCCAATAGAACGAGTTCAGGTACTCGTTATATACCAGTTCCGGGTTCGATGCTTGAGAGCCACAACTTTGCAATTTGAATGCTTTCAGAAACCAGTTTATCTCGTTGACTCCAATAAAACTGTTTTTTAGTAGCTAGAGTGGTAAGGCATCCAACAAAGCATTGGGATTTATCAAAATTCTCGAAGCTAAGTTGCCCCTTTCTGGAGGAGCATCTGCTCTATCAATCCAAACTCATTATCAACCGCCACAGATAGTGCTGTACGACCCTTTGCGTTTGCAGCGTTTACATCGACACCCTCATGTTCAAGCAAAAGCCTCACTATCTCCTCATCTCCATTATCAACGGCCATGAACAGTGGCGTACAACCATTCCTATTCTTGATGAACACGTCCATTCCTTCATGTTTTAGAAGCAGACTCACTATCCCTTCATACCCTCTGCTGATTGCCCTGAATAGTGCTCTGCAAGCATCCTCATTCTTCGTGTTCACATCAAGTTCTTTGTGGTCGAGCAAAATCTTCACTATCTCTTCATGGCCTCTATCAACTGCTCTGAATAGTGCCCTACAGCCATTCTCATTCATCATGCTCATATCCTTATCTTTGTGACTCAGCAGACGCTTTACAATTCCCACATGTCCCCCGTCCGCTGCCACAGGTAATGCCGAGTAATATGACGCAGGCGCGCCGTTAACAACAATATCACCATGCGTCAGCAAAACCTTTACCACGTCTTCGAAACCTCCCAAAGCTGCCATGGTTAGTGGCGATGTCAAGAACGCCTCTTGATTGACATCAACGTCCTTATGGGCTAAAAGAAGCTGCGCCAACCCTGCATTTCCAGAATTAGCTGCACGGCCCAGTGGTGTGAACCTTGCGGTATCCTTGACGTTGACATCGATTTCCGGATGTCTCAGCAAAAGGCTCAGTATATCTGGTTTTCCTTCCACAACTGCATAGTGCAGGGCAGTGCGCCCGTACACGTCAAGAGTAGCGTTAATATCCAGATCACGTCGCTGCAAAAGCAGGTCGATCGCAGTCACGTCATTCGCCGACCATGCAACGGTCAGCGGAGTTTCAATATCACATTTCAAATTGACATCAATATCGGGTTGCTGAAGAAGAAACTCCTGAATGACGTGGGATTTAGCCAAGATTGCTTGGTGGAGAGGCGGCAGGATATCATGATCATCCGAATCCAAATAATTAGCATCAGCGTGCTTTTCTTGGAGAAGCAATTTTACAACTGCAATATGATTCCATTCAACAGCAGCACATAGTGAGAAATTGACGTTTGCGTCTTGACCTTTTGGATTCTCGCTACGTTCCAGAAAGGCTTTTAAAGTCTTGGCCAGTCCCCACCTGGCAAGATAATAAAAAGCAGATAGTTCTCGCGAAGGCGACTGAATCCAACGACGGCCGGGCAGTTCTTCATACCGCAAGGCCTGAAGGAAATTGGCATGCTTGGCTTCATGGTCCAGCAGAGACCAAACCAAGTCATGCATTTCGTTCTCAATGTCTCGAGCAAAACAGCCCCAATCGTTGGCCGCACGATCCAACAAGACGTTTTGTTTCTTCCTTTCCGGTATATCATCAGCCGATGGAGACGGGTCCCCGAACACGTCGAACAGTAGGTACGTAAGACATGACGTCGCGAGGTAGGTCTTTGGGTCTGGCAAAATTTGCGGAAGAGCACTCTCCAAATATTCCTGAGCTGTATAGTGAATTAACCGGACCACGTCTCTATCCCTGTCAACGGTGAGCAGCCCATGACAGAAAGATATCAGGTCTTCTACCTCCGGTATGAACTCTTCATCCAAGTCGGACATCTCGGGACTGATTGCAACGGCATGTTGGATTTCGGCGGTCATGAGGGGCGTGCGACTATAGAGCACCCAAGCTAGGGCTCTTTGCGCTAGCATTTGAAAATCTTCTCCTTGGGCTCGGATTCTCTCCATTACGAGGTCGTAGGTCTTATCCAATCCTTTCGCACCCTTGGGCAAGGTTTGCACAGCTTGGCGGAGGCTCCCCGCTGTGGCCTTGGTCATGAGCAGGTCCATGTTCAGTTGAGCAAGAAGAAACCTGAAAATTTGGTCAGTTGCAACAGTGTAAAGCTCTACAGTATTTAAAGGAGCACCTACATCCCATCTGCAGCAGCAGGAATTTCTCTTTTAATTAGAGATTGAAGGTCGGGGTATTTTGAAATTTTGGATCGCAGGAGCGAACGTCCGTGGCTCTCCACGTATTTCAGGATATCATCGTCCGTTGCGCGGATCTCCTTTCGTATGCAAGTCTCAAATTGTACCTCGATTTCCGGAATTGTACGCGATGTTGCAAAGAAGTTCACCGCAAACTTTGACTGGAGTTGGAATATTGCAGATATCGTAGCACATCGATCTTCTTCCGAAGTTGTCTGCTCATCTAATGCGTCGACAATGATGAAGATTTTGGAGTACAATATGGCAGTGGATTCAAAAGCCTCTATGATCTGCTCTGTCTGCAGTGTACTCTTATAATTCCGATACTTCTCATAGAGCTTTTCCACATCTTTGGATACTGTGGACTTTCTCTCGCATAACTGTTTCAGAATATTTGCCAGAATATTCACGGGTTTCTGATCATCTTGACGCTGATGGTTGCAGAAAATGTAGGCAACAGCTACATCCGGGTCGGAGTCGAATTGGCAATTCAATGTATCGATGACCAGAGAAGTTAAGATTGTTTTGCCGGAACCTGGCATCCCGAAGCAAAACATCGTCTTTCCGGGTGTATTTAGCCATTGGCAAAATTCGCTTGAGTTCAGGAACCATAATCCGGTCCCTTCCTGGCAACGCCGACGAAAATCAACTTGCTGGCTGTAGAAGTCAACAGGATCGAGCCAATTCAGAATACTTTTGCGGTCCTCCTCCTCTTGGTAATGAATTAGATGACCGACGTTTTCTTCTATTGCGACAATACGAGCCCTTATTGTCGAGTTAGAGCTTTGAAGAATGAATTATGGTCAGACTAGACTTACCCGGAAAGTTTGCTGTAAAGGATGTTCAGTAAGCTTATGTTCGAGGTAATGCGGTTGCGGAAGTCTCTCATTTCACCGGAGTCCCATCTTAATCGCTTTAGAGTGTTGCTTGCCTTCTCCCTCAATTTGTGCGATCTGGCGCCTACATCATTATCGCTTAGCCAAGTATCAAGCTCGCTCAGCACGTTGTAGCACCCTTTTGAAATGCTTTCAAAGTCTCTCACTTGCTGATCGGTGAGCTTGTGCTTTGGGAGAATAAGATCGACCTCCTGGAGAACGGCAGATAGGCTTCTGACACTAGAAGGTAAATCAATGAGAAGCTGCATAAAGCAACTCACATCCAACTTTCCTTTTTCCTTTTCCCGCTCTCTTTGTTTGCTTGCTGTCCTCTGGTGGGGAGGTGGGGGGGGGGAAACACTCACTCATCAGAGATGGCTGCAAACTGCCCTGGCGCATCTACAAAGCGATGCCGGACTTTATGTGCAAGTTGAAGCACAGTAATGAAGTCCCCTACGCTGAATCCAAATCCCGCCATAAAGTTTGATGCTCTCCGGCAGTTCTACTTGGAGACTGTCATATATACAAAACCGAAGCGGAATGAATGAAAGAGAACAGCGCTTTGTCAATTCTGTAAAGCAGCAAGATCAGCCAACAACCTTGCGAGGGCGGGCTGGGAAGCGAGCATTTGTTTTGATGACATGAATGAGAAAAATTCCTCTCCTCGACGGACTGCTCTAGGACATTGCGACAGGAATCCATGATTTTAGTTAGTCGCCAACCCAGCTGTTCCCGCATTGAAAAGACACAAGCGTACGCTCGACGTCCAATAAGAACAAATGACATCCCGTCAGCCCTAGTTAGTTAATGCAGCGCGCAGTGCGGAGCACTCATTTCCATCTCAGGCGCGGAATCACAATGTTGAGGGAGTCCAATTTGAGTTCAGAGAGTGAAGCTGAAAGTTTTCTTAAGGACAACCGCATACAGGCAGTGAAATAAACTTCTGCTGAACCTTCGCGCAACAATCAACCCCCAAATTGACTGGATCAAAACACCCATATCCAGCGGACGGTCGAATCCCCTCCCTGCAGCATCTGAATAAGTCATAGCAAGTTCCTCTGGGAACATTACCTTTGCAGAAAAGCTGCGTCCTTCAACCATTACTCCCCAGGCGGCAGCAGTTTGTGACCGAATGGCAATCTTGATAGAATTGCGAAAACATACGGTGGAAATATGTCACGTTGATAGATCCCGACAGTTTTGGTACATGGTTTGTCCACGTGACCTCCCCTTGCTCCATCCCGGCCTTTTTGTCGGACCCGACTCCAAACTCTGGTCCACGGGATGAAATCTCCTGGAATATCTGATCGGATCTGGATTGAATGGAATATCTTCTATATGTTTCTCGCCTTTGCTCCAGTGCCGGTGTTTCCAAGCAGCTTTAATGGTTTTCTTTTACTGCACAGAGGGCAGGGTGTTTTCCCCTGGTAACTAACTACTGAACAGACTTGCGACATTGTCAGATGTATGAAGTAAGTCTCTTTGATGGGAGCCATCGTCAGACAAAAAGGGGTCATAACAATGAGTTCACACCAGATAAACAGCATTTGCAGTTTAAAAGAGCAGGATAGCCTGCAAATAGCCTTACAGCAGGGCATTGCTTGGGCTAAAAGCATCTTCCTGTTTACATAAAGTCAGGAAGCTGTAGTTTATTTGGCTATGCAGCTGGCAGAAGTTCTACCCCTTTCTATCACAGCAGAGCCATCGTCATTGACAGGTGGTTGATGACACGGTTCATAGCAGGTGTGTGTGAAAGAACTTCTTATGTGGTTCTGCGGTTTGGGCAGTGCGCTCTCTCTACTATATTTCTTTTCTTAGTCTCTCCTGTCTTTTTGTGAAAACAGGATCCGGCTACTCTACATTCTGCTAGAATGTATTTTCTCAGCATATTGCATGTTTTATAAATACCAGCGATGGCCCTTACTTTTCTCCCCACTACCAACAGCTCTTTTACATTTTTGCTTTGGCTGTTTATCATTTTATCCTTCGAACATTGTTCTTGGTTAAATACTCTCCTCCCTTAGAATTTGCTGTGCGAGAATGATACGACCAGCGGGGGAAAGCCGGTTGCCTATACCGGGTCATGCTTTAGCATCTCCCATTATTATCAAGGTTGGCGACACCTGCTACGCGACCCGGATCGAGACATTGACTGGGAGAAGTAACTACTTCAAGGCTTTTTTCTCCAAGTCGTGGCCCGGTGACAAGCAAGAAAACCGCTCTATCCATATCGAAGGAGACCCTTACCTTTTCGACTATATTATTGAATATCTTCGTCGGGGCACATTCCCCCTCGATTTCAACCCGACCCGCGGCCATAACTATGGATTATACGCTAGACTACTACAAGAAGCAAAGTATTTCCAGTGTCCTCACTTGTTTACTTTCCTAGAGGATCAATGCTTCCAGAAATGTGTTACATGGGAGATAACGAACGAAATATACGATTGCCAGACGATGGGCTCTCTGTACGATGATACCGACATTGTCGATGTACAGTTTGTTCGCACGAAAGAAACTGAAGTGAAGACCTGCCTCTGTCCACGTAGAATTAAGCCACACTATGGCAAACCTGAATTCTGCGGTCGTCAATGCAAAAAGGTTCTTGCGGACTTCGGGTATGAGAATGACATCCACACTATACCAGAGTATGCTATTGTCAAAAGGAAGCTCAAGTTCAATCTTGAATGGATATCTGACGACGGGTGAGTGGGGTTGGATAGATTTACCTACCCTGTTGAATGATAGCAATAGTGATCTAACGGCTCAATTGTACCCTCACAGGCAAGAATTTATTAACCATCTCCAGGAGAAAAAAGCCTACGATGAATCCGGAAGTAGTTGCACTGCCTCGGGAAATGAAGGCAACCTGGAGTTGAATGTAAACGCCACTCCTCTTAACCATCATCCAGGAGAAGGACCAATCCTTAATGGTAACGAAGACCTAGCCACAGATTCTGATTCGGGAGAAGAAATTTCACCACCCATATCCCCAATGAGTGGCATATCCCGCCCGTTGGGCGACCACCAGGCCCATTCTGGTAGCTAGCACCTATGGTCCGGGCTCACTGGTGATGATTCCCAGTCCTGGCGCAGTCTGCTGAGCATTTCAGCGCTGGCTCTGGAAGCTGCACATTTCGTATCTGTTTTGGGCGGCTGGTCCCCTTGGCTGTTCAATCTGCGAGTTGGAAATCTGTTTACCTAATAGCTAAGGACGCCTTTTCAACCTAACTTGGATGGCAACTGTCCCGGACAAGGGGGCCAAGCTTAGGTATTACTTGGGCAAGATTAGACTAGCAGGAAACGCCTTGGGAAGATTGGGGCCAGTTGAGGGCATTTGTCTATTCTTGTAGACCGATTACAGCCAATTCCAATATCTAATTAAGAATTTCTACCTTGTTCAAAACCAGTCACAAGTCACAGCATACCTCAGTGGGGTTTTGCATTTACTTCCATTACTTCGGTCAGCAACCCCGCTGGAAAACAATGCCATCCACAAGGCAAAGCGTATATACCAATTGGATGAACAAGTTATAATCTGTGCAACAATCAACAAAAAGATGCAAGCACACACCGACCAGCTACCAGCAGCAGCAGCTAACCACGGTCAGACCAAGGAGCAAAAAGGGACCGAGGGAAGAGGGCTAGCTATGTTACAATGCAAGTATACAGCAAAAGGAAAAATATGCATAAAAAAACCCGGCCCATACAGATGACCAAGAAAAGAAACACCAGAACCATCTAATCTTTCGATGTAGGTTTTTCTTTTTTTTTTTTTTTTTTTTTTTTTTTTTTCTTTTTTTTTTTTGCATTTACAGCCGTAGCTAATATCCCAAGCCTCATCATCACTTCAATCCCCAGTAACCACGCAACCACGGTGCACGACTGCAATCACCAGTGACACAACCCACCTTCACCCTCTTCCCTCTTCCACGTCCCCGCAAGACCCACAACCTCCAATTGCCCATCTGCATGCTCATCCATGATATCTAGGGATGCATAGCTCGCCTCTGCAGGGCCTTTGACGGGCAACCCCTTGTCCAACACCCCAATAGCTGGCTCCCCAGTCTCATCCCGAGACTGCTTGAGGAACGGGATCAGCGCTGTGCCACCGGTTCCCCGCAGGTTCTTGCTAGCAGAGCCAGCGACCGTGGCGGGGTTGACAACCGCCGCAGAACGAGAACTGCTGGCTTGGGACACTGGATGGGCAATATCAACGCGTCTTTTCGCAATGCTGCTAGGCTGCTGGTTGCGGGTCTCGCGTGATTTGACAATAATATATCGCGAGACCATCTGAATGTGCTTATCCCGCAGGCCGCGAAGGGTTGCCAGACACGAATCATAGGCGGCGCACAGCGCCTTATCGGACCGGTTCTCCAGGACGAATTCGCGGATATTCGCAACGCTGGCAACATGTTCGAGGAAGCGTCTGTGGGGGCCTGGCATGTATGAGCGCATCTCCATGATGAAATTGTGGTGTTTTCTCGGGGCCTGGCCGCCCTCGTCGCTCGATGGGGAATTTTCGGTGCGCTTCGTGCCAGTCGGGCGGTGCTCGACGTTCAGAACGATGTCGAAGAATTGGATCAGAGAGCTCTGCGCATTGGAGCCACCTCCATAGGTGTGGCGCGATTCCTTGCCGGTTCCGTCGTCATAGACGATGCCATTGGGTAGGCCTGCGTCGCTCATGTTCTTGCTGCCGGCTAGGAAGGGGCGGATGCGGTGGTAGAAGACGTGTGGGTCGCAGTTTTCGTACATGCGTTGCAGGAGGGTTCCGATATCGTCGAGCCGTTGGGCGAATGTGTGGAGGCATTCTGTGACGACTTTTACGTCGCCTTGCCGGGCAGCTGAGATTGCATTAAGCATCAAGGGAATCGTGGCGGCGCCGCGGCCTTCGATGGCGATGGAGATGAGGTAGAACCATTGCTCGTCAAGGGAGCCGGTGAAGGTAAAGAATGGGACAATGTTCTCAAGGTTATCGGCGGGATCTTCGGGAAATATGGATTTGTAGTTCCAGAGGCAGAGACTCGCATACGTGGCGACGGGAGGGAGTTCGAGGTGGGAAGAGACTTTCAAGAGGGGGATTGTAAGGGAAGGTGGAATTTTCTGGAGATCATACGGGTGAGTAAGTGGATTTTTACTGCAGATCACAACCACATCCTGCATTGCACGACGCAAAAAAAAAAAAGAAAGAAAGAAAGAAAGAAAGAAAGAAAGAAAAAAGAAAAAAAAAAAAACAGGACTAACTATGCACGTACCTCAGCGGGAATATCACCACCCCAGATATAACCATGTAGCATAAAAGTCAACAAAACATAGGCACGCCGCCATTCCGGTACGGTGTTCAGTTGGTCCGTGGAGAGAATTGGCATATGGTCAATTGTAACCCGTAGCCGCTGGCTAAGAATGAGGGCCTGCAGGTTGGCCACGATCGCCTCCCATCTTGAATAGTAGGGGTCTGGTAGACTCTGAAGCGGGGGTTTACTGGGAAGGAAACCTGACTCCGGGGACAGGCCGTAGTCCGCAAGCAATGGGATGGGAGGAATCATGTCTGTTTAAACCTCTAAGGATAGACCACCTACTCCACCAAGTGCCAGCGACGAGCAGAGATGATTCAGATATTGATGGAGGGTGGAGCAGAGATTATTGAGTGAGTGGGGTCAAGAAATGGCAAATGTGAAGCAGACGCGGGCTGGAGGAGGTCTCAAACGGCAAACAAGAGACTCGACAAGACGTGTAAGTGTACTTCAATTCTGGACCTGAAAGAAAGCTAAAGAGAGTTATTCTTCAATAAGGATGGCCTCGAGAAACGTCACGAAACTAGCAAAGAATTATGTCTCATTGCCACCCCACATGACAGACATTCACTGAAGTTCTATCCAACTAACTAGGTACCTGCTTGGGGGGCGATAGGAATAGAAGAGAGCAAGTTTCACAGGCAAAAGGGGAAAAAATTGAATGCCGGGGTGATATAATAACTAATGGCGAACAACAACTTGTCAAGAGCCAACAGAAATCCCAAACTTCTCCTCCTCAAGGGCCTAGGTTGGTAAGTTTTATTATTAACTATCTAAACCCCGGTTAGACGTGGAGAAAATAGCCCCAGCCCGGTGACTCTTCAGGTTCGCGGCATTGGGCTGGAGGTACTGACTAATTAAAACAACCGCAAACCTTGGTAGAGAGCTTAAATTCTACCCTCAGCCCCAAAACCACGGTCGGGGTATGCAAGGGGTGCGCGGGGGAGGGGAAGATATAGAACAAAATGAGCAGCATGGAAATCGAGACAAAGGGGGCACAATGATGCAGTCTACTAAATATATCCATCCCTATTTCGAGACATCATGAATCTTCAACAAAGATACAAAAAATCTTCCTATCTATTAATACACCGATTGCGTAGGCACAGGGGATCATGAGACGACATGGTAGAATGCCAGTCAGACGCCTAGTTACATGGCTGCATATGCCAGAAATGACTCCTCCTAGGCACGGGCAGTTATCCCGAAGAGTAAGCTGGTTATGTCACTATGCGTGCATTGCCGAACGATCAAAAGCAGGATATTGGTACCATCGTCATTCCCGTGATCTTCTTTGTTCAAGCAAGGATAAGGACCGTAAGGACCGTAAGGACCGCAAGGGCCATTTCTGTGATTGGAATTCTTCTCACAACAGCTGCTTTTTCGAACGGGTCCAGGGCAAATCTAGGGGAGCGCTGGGAGTGCAGAACAAGGGAAATGGGAGAAAGAGAGCAATACACCGAGGCTATTGGCTATAAAACAATAACTAGTCAACTATTATATATAATGTTATGTCATGACGTGTCTTTGCGGGTATTCTTACTTAATATCTACACGCAGAAAAGTTTACCTGCGAAACTTTAGCGATTGAAATTAGACACGGAAGAGCATGAAGGGCCATCCATGCATTCTGTCCGGGAGAGAAGAGAGGGCTAAGTTATACCAAACGTTTCTCGTCGTTCTGTCTTATGTTTTGGTAACATAACAACTTCCCAGAAAACAGAATAACAAAAGAATAATATGTTACACAAGTAATATATACAGTAAGCAAAGGCTCACTTGAGAGGAAGCCCGAAATGTTGGGCACGCCCATGACATTTGTGATTCGCTAGTCGATGGAGGTGCGAAGGGTTGCGTTAAGGCCTGTTAGGTTTGGAGATATCACAGATGTGGACTAGAAGAAAAGACCGTCCCTTTAAGGCAAATTCAAGGTCGGAATAAACTGAAGATCGCAGAGGGCAACCAACCAACCAAAAAAAAAAAAAAAAAAAAAAAATCACAAAACGACAGGAGGGGTAAACATATTGGTATCAAATAATGTAACGAGACTGTGCTAGGTAAATAGGGAGGAGGAGATTTTTAATGCTGGCTCCATTGGATCGTATTCAGGTCAACGCCCTCCTGCACCAATTCCCACAGCGGACTGAGTTCCCGCAAGAACGAGACCCGCTCTCGCACAGCCTTCAATACATAGTCGATTTCGCTCTCTGTCGTGAACCGGCCAATGCCGAATCTAATGCTGCTGTGTGCGCTCTCGTCACTGTTTCCAAGGGCCCGGAGAACGTAGCTGGGTTCCAGAGAGGCTGACGTGCAGGCGCTGCCGGAGGACAGAGCGATATCCTTAAGAGCCATAAGGAGGGACTCACCCTCGACGTAAGCGAATGACACGTTGACACAGCCGGGGTAGTGTTTGTCCGGGTCACCGTTTAGGGTCGTGTGTTCCATCGAGAGAAGGCCGTCCAGAAGCCGCTTGGACAGATATTCGATGCGTTTCGCATCATACTGGAATATAAACCGCATCAGTAATCCGAAGCAGACTGTCAAATGATGGATATAGCGACAGAGATATATAAGTAGGAGAAGGACGAAGAATCGAATCCTCCCGAGCCAATCATAGCCCTGCTACTTAAATCAAAGAGAGTTGGTTGAAACAGCAAAAGCTGCGAAGCTACAAAACCAACTACTCTCAGAAGACTTGGGATAAGGCGAGTAATCATTTCGTGCACGGGGATATGGGAAAGGATAGCCAGAAAAGACATAAATGCCTTTTTGGTTGCGTCATAACAGATTTAAAAAAGAAAGAAAGAAAGAAAGAAAGAAAGAAAGAACTAGCTTACCTCCATCTCTTCTGTTGCAATGCGGCACGCCTCTCCAAAACCAACGACAAGATGAGGAGCAAGGGTTCCACTTCGGAGACCTCTCTCCTGGCCACCACCAGTGATAATGGGATCAAGACGAACTCTCGGGCGCCGTCTCACGTAGCAAGCTCCAATGCCTTTGGGGCCGTATATCTTGTGTCCGGAAATAGAAAGAAGGTCGACATTCCAGTCGTTGACGTCGATCGGGATCTTCCCAACTGCCTGGGCCGCATCGGTATGGAGAAATACTTTATTCGCCCGGCAGATGGCTCCAATCTCTTTGATTGGCTGAATAACGCCAATCTCATTGTTGACGGTCATGATGCTCACCAAAGCCGTTTCGGGACGGATGGCAGCCTTAAGGTCATCAAGATTTATCAACCCGTTGTTCTGCACAGGGAGGTAGGTGACCTCGAATCCCTCATCCTGCAGATGTCGACAGCTGTCCAAGACACACTTGTGTTCAGTCTGCGACGTAATTATATGCTTCTTCTTCCCCGATCGCCCAAAGAACTTCGCAACACCCTTGATACTCATGTTGTTACTCTCCGTCGCGCCGCTGGTGAAGATGATCTCCTTAGCATCCGCCCCGATCAGCTTGGCAACATGTTCCCTCGCCTGTTCGGTGGCTTTTTCAGTCTCCCATCCGTAAGCATGCGTTCTCGAATGGGGGTTCCCGTAAAGGCCAGTGAGGAAAGGAAGCATTGCGTCAAGCACACGTGGATCTGTGGGTGTCGTGGCTTGCATGTCGAGGTATATCGGCCGAGATCCCTGGTCGAGGAGGGTGGCCTGCTTCAGAATGCCAGCAGACGGGCTCGCCGTGGCATCTCCGCTGACTGGAGTCCCCGGCACAATTGAATCCTGCGGCAATGTGCTCGTTTGCCCGGCCCTGGTGGTACTCACCTGTGCTTGAGCGGGGTTTGACTCTGACGCATAGCACCGTCTGGCAGCTGCCAGTCGCGATAGTCGTGGCCTGGCGGAGGCACATCGCCGTGGACACGCACGAAGCGCTTGCCTGAATACGGATGGTGCTATGTTTGACATGGTGATTGAGAGAGAGAGCAAATGGAAGACCGGTGGGAATCGAAATCGAGCAACTTGACGCGCCTGCAGAATCTTTCTTGATGGCTAAGTGGTTCAATTAGTTTGTCAGTTCAACGGTTAGTTAGTTGACTTAAGTTAGTAACAGCAGAAAGGACAGGCGCTGACTAATTACGCGGCAAATTCTCTGGGCGCCAAGGCTTGCTCTGTGTGCTTCCTCAAAGCGAAAAACGCCCCCATATTCGGCTCGGGCGCCAACCCCGCAAAACTCATCCATCCACAACTTCTGGACCTTAAGTTTGAAGGTTGGAGACACGTTCAGGATAAAAATAGAACAGAAGAATTTACTCTCTTGTTACGGGTTCAACGTTTGGATTGGATATTCACACATCTTAGGTTCTGATGGACAAGTTTCCTTGGCTTACTCGAGCTGTATTTTTCTGTTTGGCATACACATCATATCATTCATTCTCTTTAATACCTTCTGGGAGGTATTTTCTTACGGCTGCTTCATTCAATACGGAGGGATAAAAAACCCTTTATTCAACCTGCCCTTAGGATCATACTTTGTCTTGATCTGACGGAGCCGCTCATAGTTTGGCCCGAAGATCTATGGTGGTCAACGTCAGCCAAGACTTGACCATCAGAGGGTGTGAAGAGAATCAAGGCATCCACAGCGCATTCAGTTTCAGAATGAAAAAAAAAAAAATAAATAAATAAATAAATAAATAAATAAATAAATAAAAATAAAAATAAAATAAAATAAATCCGCTTACCTGGCTCAAATCATGGAACCCATGCAGAAAGGCTGGCCAAAATTCATTGGGCTTGTGAGAAGGGGCAATTTCCGTCGGACCCCTTTCCAGGAGCTCCAACGCCAATGCCGTGGAACAGTCCGCGTCAGAGTGGTAGCCCAGTACCAATTGAAGAGCATGTTGAGGTTTCGTGCGAGGCCAAGCTGTCGCCGATGGGCCCCCAGCGGAGGTTAAAGTTTTCTGCAAGAAATATGTCAATAATATCTTATCCGAAGCATATAGGATAACGGAGTATTATCCGGATAAGAGCTCTCCCACCTTGCCCATGAGCTCCAGGATGACGAAGGTGCCCGCTCTAAAGGCCGGGTTCGTCTCTACGGTCCGCTCGTGGAACTGAGCCATCCTCAGGACGAAGTCGGGATCAATAGAGTCGACAAGCGGTGAAGACAACACCGAGTGGTTGTGATCTCCGAAACGCAATGATGCTAAGGGGTGGGGGGAATGGCGGTGTCAGTTTTCATGCAATAAACCTGATTTAATTAACTATTACAACATGTATTCGTCGTACCTGTAAGTTCGTTGACTTCACGGATCTTGAGCTCCTTCGTCATGTCCACTGCACCCTCGATGTCGAAAGCCCATTTGAAACCCAATTCACTGCGTGCATGCTCTTCTCCGTGGGAATCGAATATATGCATTGTGACATCAGGTTTCGTAGCTTCATTTTGGTCGTCGGGGGATGCAAAGTTCGTAACTGAGACATGTGCCGCGATCTTTGGGTCTGTGTATCTGCTCGCGAAGTCGGACACCCCCTGAGATACGGCTTTCATTGCAGTCCTTGGAAAGGCAATAGTTCCTGCGTGTATCTTCTGCGAGCAACGGTAGACCTTAAGTTTGAAGGTGGAAACAACTGATTTCCCCACATTCCATGTCAAATCACCTCACGGTGCGGGTGCATAGGGTCACTGGGGGTAATGGCATCATGGCGTACCTCCGAAATTTCCTCCTCCACCACGAAGGGCCCAGAGGAGATCTGGCTCCGTCGCCGCCCATAACGTTCTACCATCTGGAAGCACCACATGGGCATCCAGGAGAGTTTGCGGATCTGAGCAGAGACCAAACTCCCCCGAAAACCAAGAAAATCCGCCAACGAGCAGGGAACCCGCAACCCCGACGAACGGGACCCGAGTGCTGAGGACTGCCATACGAAAAGACACGGAGAAAAGAAGAAGGGAAAAAAAGTTAAAAAGATAATAACAACTAAGCCAGCGCGATAATAAGATCAGCAGAAGGTGCTCGCCAGTTGGACTAACCTGTAAAACCAGGGGCTGCCTCCTCGAGCTTCCTGTCCACTTCTCCCCAAGTCTGACCAGCCCCGATGGTTATGGTCTCCGACTCGGGGTGATATTCGAAGGAATCGAAAGCTTTCATGCTCAGTTCGACATCCTTTGCGCCGGCTGTGTTGTTCCCTCCAGATCGGACAGCGAAGTCCAAGTCCAATCCGCAGAGATACTGAACCGTCTTCTGGAGCGCAGGCAGCGACTTTGGCCGCAGGACTAGATGCGGCTTGGGGTTTTTGTACGTCGACCAGAAGGTTGTTTCCGCAGCATACTTCTCTGAGGAGGATTCGAGGATCTCGTCGTCAGACAGGAAGCTTCGTACCGCCGCTTTGTGCTCAGGGAGTAAGGCCATGGTGCTCTGTTGGTAGCAAGGACAGCTTTTTGGGGGTTGGGGGGTTTGGGGGGGGGGTCTGTTCCAGATAACTAGCTAGACGTTGTATCGCAACAAAAAAACAAGAGTAACTATTAACCAGTTAGTTAGCTGTTGGAGAAGACGTGAAATCGTGTTTGCTCGATCCCAAACACAAGCAAGCTGCTTTTCGTCGAGGTCTCAATTCCCGGGCTAAATAGGTAAAGTTTCAGTATATAATATAGAGGCGCATTCGGGTCCCTGTCGATATCGGGGAGAGGCTGCCTCTGCTCACGCATCGCTAAACAGGTCACTCTGGGTCCGTCGCAGGATCCGCAACCCCTTGCAAAGGGACTATTCAGCTTCACCGCCTTTTCCTTTTTTACATACAGTAGGATTAACTACGTGACTACAGAAGAATCATGTTGAAAGTTGAAACGTGACTACGGCAGGGAAGGGCTCCGTAAATAAATGGCATTTCATAATTGACAAGACTTTATAAATCAAAGGGCACTTTTCCAGCGGGGATGATATGAAAATATATCTGACGGCAGGGGCAGAGTACAATCCAGGGAAAATAGGCTGTCAATGTGAACACTTGGAACGTGAAAGACTGGGGGAGCAACTGGCGGAGCAACTGGCGGAGCAACTGGTGGTACCCTCATCCGCGCGCAGTGGGTGGTGGTGTCTCAAGGAACGCTACTGGGGGTCACAATGGAAAAGCCACGTAGACACTGGAGATAGCCCTGGTCCTGTGCAATGCATCCCTTCGGTCAACTTTCTCCATCGAGCAACTACGGATTAAATAGTCCGTCTTCCAGGGGATACATCGCTTCAGATCAAGATTTGAGAAATATTATGCCAGTGTAAGTGAACGGTGCACACCTCCAAAGATACCACCTACCGAATCATCTAACAGAATATAACTTTTCTGCGCGGCCCATGTAGTTATGCATATGTGAATATTTGTGAATAGAGCAACAAAGCTGCCTACAGGGCCGAAGCTCCACTCAGCTCCGTGTGGGTCTTGGCCTCATTCGGATTGTGGAGCGGTAATGGCACCCGACGCCAACGGATAAACGGGACGAGTCTGCGCTTTCCAGGCTGCAGAATTCGGGCTCCTCAACGACCCCAGCTCCCTCACGACTCGGAGCTGCAGGACCGTGTGCGAGACACAGCAGGAGCGTGATGGGTATGAAAGACCCGCTTTGGTTCGACAGGATCTCTGCGGACACACGACGGTGTTGTAGATGACATCGCGCGCGGAGGTGCGGTTGAGCATGATCGGGTAGTACGTGTCCAGGATCCTGGGATCCGAAACCTCCATGTGCGGGCAAATCCGAATATCCAAGTCTCTCAGAGCCTCATTCACTGTTTCCTTCGAGGGGATGTCGTCGCATCGCGTCGGGAAGAGGCAGAGCACATCCAGCTGCTTCAGCTTCGTCGGCCAGAACCGCGTTGTGAACCAGAAATGGCCCGGGACCTCGTACTGGGGACCATGCTCACACGGAATCATACGCCATTTGGGCGAATCCGGCATGCTCTCCTGAGGCAGTTTGCGAATAAGGTTGAAATTCTCCTTCGCCTCGTTGAAGCTGAGCGTCCTGGCGGAGCAAATCTGCAACACCGGCAGCGAAGCCACGCAGTAGCGGTTCTCCGGGCTCTCTCGCAGCTGATTCTTGGCGAAACAGGATTTCTTGTGGACGCGCTTGCAGCCTGCACACACGAGCTTGGAGAGCGCCCCGTCGCGCTCCAGCATGCACAGAAATTCAAACCTTTCGCTCTGGAAGGTTAGCTCGGCATCACGCAGCTCAGGAAAGTTACGGAACCGTCGACATGTTTGGGACAAGGCTTTCCGACTCAATGGAGGAAGACGGTAGAGGATGTCGAGAACCAGCTCGGCCGGCATGCACGCCAAGGACGGGCGGGTAGCTGCCGGGCCTTCGGGGACTGGCTCGGGAGGGTCCCCGCGTAGGTGCTTGAGCGCCCGAGAGAAGAGAGATTTGACACTATGCATTGCAGGCAAGAACAAGCAAACATATCAAACCAGGGTGGGGTCTGGGGATTCAGCGGGGTAAATTGTTAGGAGAGACGGTGGTGCATCCAATTGGGGTCGCAATGGCTCCTCTGGCGAACGGAGAGTCGGAA